TCTTCCAGAGCATCAACACTGTTAAAGTCGGTATCATGAATTGAAATAATTCTCTTAAAATCTTCACATATAGTTATTAATCAAGCAAAGCCTAGCTAAATATATATTAATTACCTTTCTTTTATCCATATGCTCAGAAATACAAAAGTCGAAGTTTTTGCGTCGCTCCTCGCGTATTTCTCACCATAAATATTTGGATTTTCTTCGTTTACAGTGGATGCCAACGAGTCGATGATAGTAAACCTAGAAAATTTTAGAAATAATCTGAAAAAAAAAAGTCAAAATACTGCTCAAGAAGGAGAAATCTTTTGATTTTGACATTTTCAATCTTCTAGTTAAACACTAGCTAAGATACGGAAATGAAAAGAGAACTTTCAAATAAATTTCATATATAAATACATTCTTTACGCGACTACATAACTACTCACGGAAGATTGTGACGAAGAACATTCGATTATTTTTCCTTCGTCTGCAACAGAGATGTATTTTTCTTCTCCTGACAAAAAAGCTTTCGCAATGTGTTTATAGTTTAAAAGAAAAAATGTAAGTCTATAAATTATTCATGATTAGAGAACAGACAAAAATTACAAAACGAAAAACAAGCAACATAAAACAACAAATCTCTACTTTTTCTTAAATATAAAGTTAATATTCTAAGACAAATTAACGATGCAGTTGTATAAAATCTTGCAAATAACTGATAAAAAACGGCAGTGTTCGTAAACGTTCTTGTATAATATAGCTACTTGATTTTCACATTCTCGTTTCTTTCTGCATTTGTTTAAATACTTTTTCGACTTTGTCCAATGTTTCTGCTGCTGCATTTCCAGCTCGCTTCGCCTCAGTAACCGCCCTATCACTTTCTACTTGATTGTAGTGTCGCAAATTTGGATTTTCTCCTGAAAGTCTTGAGATTTCTGTTCTACTAGCTTTAAATGACGCTCACAAATAAGTGCAGCTTGCTGAGCGATTTCACTAGTTCGACCTGATTGTGCTACGGCGATATATGAGTCAGATCTTGCTTTTTTCCTTTATATACTTTTTAATTTCACTCAAACGGTCATCCACAAATTTTTCCCAGATGCTGTTGCACCTTTCGAAATTGCTCGTTCAACTATTGCCGTGTTTTCTCGTAGTATCGATGAATTTCTTCAGCATCTGCCTTTCGATTGGCCTCTGCTTCGTTGAATTTTCGGTTGAATATCTTCATGTAGAACATCAATACTTAATTTGATCGGCATAAATCTGAGCATGTAGAGCTATTTCGTCGAGTCTCGTTAGAATGTGACCATTACTGCCAATAACAGACACACAACCGATGAGGTGGCGGTAACTGATCTGTTGCGCCGAGCTCAAATTTACCTGCTTTGAGAATGTCAATGATCCACGCGATTACATACTCAGCAAATATAGTAATCAACACCGTCAAGATGGAAACTTCTGGATGGACACCGCGTAGAAGACATTGTTAATCCATTTAATTTTCGTTTTAAACATATTCGTGCTTCTAATCTTTCGAAATAGATCGATCAACTAGATTTGCTCTTTATAGTAGAGAGTAAACGATATATCTAATACTGGCGTATAACATTTAGAAAAAGCGCTCAAAACAAACACTACGTTACTTGACTTATCATTAAAAATGAATCGAAGAAGTAGTCAGGACGTGAACAAATTATCCAAAGCGCTTGTATGCGACAATACACATCTCGAAATTTTGAATTTAAGCGCAAAAACAGATGTCAATGATGAAAACGTCGATTCAGTAGTCACTCTGACAGAGCATAATCGTTCGCTGAAGAGGCATGACTTTTGGCACTGTGATCTGTCAACAGTTGGCAGCAACAAACTTCGACTGATAGCAAAAGCACGAAAACGATTCGTTCTATGATTGTCTACTAAATAAGAAAAACCGTTTTCGGGCGAATGTGTACGTGCAAATAGTACTAGAAGAATAGACATTCGATTATCCTAATATGTATTTTTATTTAACAATGATGAAGAGTTCGCAATAAGTGTCATTTTTCACGTAAGAAAACTTAACCAGGCTCGATTATACGATCGAGCATTCGATGAAGTTGACAGTTATCTTTCGCTTGAACTTCCGGAATAGAATAATTTGTTGCTTTGTGTACTTCAGTGATGATCGTATTCCGTATATCTTCTGCATTCATTTCCTTAATTTGAGCCGTCGTGCGATATCTGTGAATGTAACCTCTTAGATCACACAATAGAGGTATTCCGACAATAGTCACAGCACTCAGAATAATCAGAAACAAAATGAAGATTGAGATTTTCATAATTCAAAGTGATACTAAAGAACTGAATATAAAACAAAATTTTTTTGCAGATTCGGGACATACCGTTAAAGATTTCTTGGCATTCAGATAACGAACGTTGATATGATGAATGCGATATTTATAGGCAATCAGTGAACAATAAACGTCGGCTTCTTTGCCCATTTTATATACGTGATCCAATCAATATTTTCGACTAATAGACACATGTCCGCCGTTTGTATAATTGAGAGAGATATTAATTCAAGACGACATCTGTAATAATCATGTACACACACTGAAATTTTTTCTCAGTATTTTCTGACCCCTAGTTGATCACATATCGGTTTTTGTCCGCACGTCTAATAATACGCATGCACTAATTATAACTATTTTCCAATATATTTTGCACACTGACGCTGTGATTTCTACGAGAGATGAAAAGGTATTCGTTTTCATTGCCATGCTACTCAACCATGTCTTACTTTCACAAATACGAGTAGTTTCATCTGCTTCTTTTGTGCTTCTATTTGAAAGTTAGTCTTAAGATTCCACGCATAACTTTGCATCTTTTATACAACAGCTCGTGCATTCAATTCTCGTTACGAAAATAAGCATTTCCATAGTACATTATTTTTTGCGGCAATAGCTTCATCCTAATAATCAAATGTAATTGACCTCGAATTATACCTCTTAAATAAATAAATCTCATCGATTTGTAGAAATACGATACAGTTGGCTTTAGCCGATAAAACACGAATGACGTTTCTTCCTTTGTTTCCAGTTGAATTTTATTCGCAAAATTCGTAACTAAATCAAAGGTATAGACTATAATCAATATTCTGAAAGAAAGATTTGATTTTAATCATTGCAATAGTTATCCAGATCGTTTGAAATAATAATTGAACTTATGGAGTAATACGCAAAAATAATGACATTATAAAGCTGATTTATACCAGAAGAGACATGTTACGATGGGTCGAAACTGTTATATTTTCGAACACATTATATATGTTTATTTAAGTTAAAACAAACGTGATCGAATAAGTTCCTTCCAAATCTGATATTAATACTACTTTCCACACAGTTTGAGTTCGTTAGTTTAGCAGCCGTTATTCTTCTGCTCGTTTTGTAGAAAATCTTAGAAATGATCGCGTTGGTTCTTTATTATAAAGATGTCTCATCTACGCATTAGATCATAGACAACTCATAGAGAGACTTCCTATTTATAAGTTTATAACGTACATAATATGATGGGAGAAAAAGCCGAGACTGATGTGCAAAGTTTGTCATTTTGCTGACGTATTACATTGAATATCATTTGAACTGACTTCAAAACCTACAAAATCGTACTCGTGATCAAAATTTTAGTCTATTTTATCATCATCATTACATTCACTTGTTGCTTGCTTGAACAACAATCTCGATCCCACTGATCGAACACATCACACTAGAAATCATCATTGGGATGGAATATTACACTCAACAGATTCGTTCGAGTTATCACTTGTGACGAGGTTTATGATCAGCATGTCACTTAGAAACAGTTGTATCATTGGTCGACGTCCCTCGATTCCATTGAACGTCATCAATTCTATTCTAATTCGCGACCTGTAGCGATGGACAGCGATGTGCGTTTTACAATTGCACATCGGCAAGATTCGATCCATAATGCCAATGAAATGGAAGAATGGATTTTGCACATTATTAATTATCCATCAAAAGTGTGGATGCTCGGTTCAGTTATCAACCTCGTACATTGTCTTGCTCCGTTTATCTATAGAGGAACTATAGGCGCAGTTTTGTTGAAGAGAACAAAAAATATCGTGACATCACCAATATCGGTAAATTTTATTTTCAATCAAAATCACACACGAAGAATAGGATGCGGACGTGCATTATGGAAGGAGAGCTAAGTAAAAGAAATGTAGGGAAGAAAATGTCAAACTGTTTTTCAAGATGAATGTTTATTTTTTTTTCTCTGATTAATGAAGAATGCGTTTCATTCGTAGTTTGTGTCGAGTATTGGCCTGAATCTTGACAGGATTGAATGTATTTGCTACTTTGGTGAATACAGCATACATGGCTAAAGCATAAACAGGCATCAATACAACTGAGAAGACAGCTGTCATAGTGGCGACTGTTTGTTTGCAAGCATCTTCCTATTCAATCGATTTATGTGTTTAGTCATACTCGAAAGTGAACAAGTAACTTACCAAATCTTTGGGGTACATCACAGCAACTGTAGATTCAGTTGTTGCGCCCGATGTCGTTGGACCTGCTGTTGTTGGAGCTAAAAGAGAGAAGAAAAATTCAAATTATATGAATAGTAAAAGATTCCTGCTCACCAGTTGTAGTTGGAGGTGAAGTAGTTGTAGTTGTTGCGTTAGTTGTGATAGGTGTTGTTGTTGTTACGACAATACCAGTTGTTGTCAACTAGTTGTATCAATAGATAAACGAATATGAGATATCAATGATATACACATGAACTTACAAGAGTATTGATACTGGTTGTTGATGTTGGTTTTGTTGTCACCGTTGCGGTTGTGAAGGGTGTCGTCGTCGTTGTGGTCGTGCTGGAAACTGCCGGATTCCAAATATTGAATACCCAAAACGTCGGATCTGTGATCGGTGCTGACTCCGCATCTTTTCAAGTCAAAGTCATTCTATTAATTTCATTCCCAGATACAATCAAATAACTTACGACAAAACACGCTTCCACTTGCAAAACCACTATCCATTGTTACATAGTAAAACGCACCGGCTGTCCATGTGAGATTTGTAACAATAACAATCGTGTATCCTGTGTAGATCACATTCGGTGAATATCCAGCATCATAACATAGAACTGTTGCGTTCGAAGTAGCATTATGAAAGCAAACGTTTGTGTTGTTACGAGTTGGACGACCAACTAAACTTGTTGCTAAAATAGAACGATCGATCATGAACGATTAACGCACAAACTCAACTAAACAGACGCACCTTGAATAGAAAACATTGATTGATTTGCAAAGACAGTGCCGACTGGACTTGCAGATCCTTGCACAACTGTCGGACGAATGATGTTTGGTGATGTATAGTCAACTAGATATGTTATACACCATGGATCTGATTGTAAACTACTATTGTCGACAGCACCAGCACAGAAACCTTGAGGACCAGCCTGTGATGCTTGCGGTGTCCATGTCAACACCATTGTCCATGTATCTAAAATATAGTTTCAAATTTTAGATTCCAAAGCTTTTCCATTCTTATTGTTTAAAGTTGATTACATACTAGCACTTGGATTAAGAATGGCACTGTGCTGCATTCCGAGTGGTGAACTAGTGACGAAATCAACAATAGCTTGGCCGGGACAGTATGTTTGAACAATTATTGTTTCATTCAGTTGAACACCTGAAATAGAAATTCTAACGAATTAGAACAAAGACAAAAAAAAATCTTCATTAGCTAAACTTACCAATGGGAACACCAATACAGGCTATAGAATAAAATAAATGAAAAGAAATAATAGAGTTAATGAGTATTTCAGCTTAGTTCATACCTCGGTTTGGTCGTACACCAATGATTTGAGGACGTTGTGAACATGCAGTACCAGAAGCTGTATATCCGTAGAATAAAAATACGATTGGAACAGAGCTCATTGGACTTGTAGCAGCACTGTTATAATAATCTTCAATTTGAATGGAGCATGCATAATATAGATTAGCAGTTGGCAGGGTAAAAGACACTGTACAATTGGATCCAGTTAAGACATATCCAGCTGGCAATGCACTGCAAACACCTGAACATTCATCTGCTCGATTGTAATTGCTTCCACTAGCTGAAGTAGACCAGCGACATTGTAATATGTCAGTACCATCATTATCTGCCATTTGTATAATATGAGTAATTCGTGTGGCTATGGGATAAAATACTACTGGTAGTGTCGTTGTCACTGGACTACTATTGATAAAACCATCGGGTCTCAAACCTAAGTTCAATCGATTAACAACTGACCAACCAGTACCACCGCCATACAGAGCAGTCAACCAGGCACTTCCGGCAAAACCCATTGCAATCGATGTTGTCAATGGCAATGATACTAAATCGTAACGTTCACCACCCCATGATGAAATAATCGGAAGCGTGTTACAATCTGTAGTTTGCACAGCAATCGAAAGTCCAGAATAAGTTGAACTTGAGCAATTTGCCATACAGCTCATCGTGCCAGCGACTGGAATGGTTGTTTGAGCAGTAACATCTGCCTCCGTACAATAAGGTGGACCACCGAAATAGGTCGCTTTTCGATCAAAAAAGTATCGTTGATGTATGAGAATATCCGCACTGCTACCCGATGGTGTACTATTCAACGGGCGCCTAAAAAGAGAAGAAATAACAAACGGATGGTAATAAGACAATAGTGAATGAGACGTACCATGAAATAATACCACCACGAAAATGTGAGCCATCGATTATGCTATATGACATGCACAATAGGAACAACACAAGACACGTAGTTTGTACCATAGTATTAGTGTATAACTGTTGTTTCGATTGAAACAATATGAAATGAAAACTGAGTTGTATGCTCGCCTTTTTATATGCGTAGGTGAATCAATCTTACCTGTAAGCATTCTAGTGAAAAAGTGCGTTCGTTTTGCGTATTATGAAAATATTTAATTTTCGAGTATCAAGAACAAAATTTTCATTTTAGTTTCTCTCGCAACGAATGGCATGATGTTGTAAAAACAAACTGAGTGTTTGCGTTTGTTTATTTGGTCATTCTTGTGCACTTTTGTCATGCGCAATTAACACACATAATGCATCGGATGACCCTATTGAATGACATTCGTGCTTATATACGCCCCCTCAGAAAGTACTAATAGCTTCTGTAGAAAAAAATATCCTACTTTTCAAAATTTCGATTCCGTAACTCTGGTCATATACGATATGTCGATAATTCATAGTGAAACATTCTTAGCGTTTACAGATGATCTATATAGTCGTGTTCATTATATTTCTCTGTTCAAATATGTTATAATCAGTTTTGTAATGGAATTTCTTTCGATATTTTATTCAAAAGCATATGTAACAGCTGTTAGTAATCATTTTGATCGGCTTTATCCTCGTATATGATTTAATTCACATAAAATGCTTGCCGATTGTTTACATAAGCCGTCGTTAACTTTTATGATCTCACATGGCATCTGGTAGATACCAGTGAGTACATAAAAATTCATTTTTCATTCTGTTCTCGGCGCGTGTTTCTCTTTACACAACTAAAGAAATCGCTGTAACAAGAGAGAGCTGCAATGAAATATTATATTAGGCGAATTCGATCGCTACAACATCTTCACTGAGCTTAACAACGACAAAGCAGAACATTTAACAGATTCTACTCGTTTGAACTATACTTGAGGTTGTGCATCTGCGTGTGTTGGCTGTTTAAATCACCATAAGCCGATGGAAAATGTTGTTTTCTTGTACACAGCGTTGCAATATAAGCGAAGGGAAAAAAAAAACAGGTAAGTTTAATGTGAAGGAAGTCACATTTCCGCAACATTGCCAGACTGTAGCTCAGGCCATACCTATATTCGAGGTTATGATGCTTTCCTAAGCTCAAATATTTGAATACTAAACTCTTTCATTTTTAATAGTTCAAATTGACGTCAGCAACACAGATTAACATGTTTTTCTCTATTTTATCATAAAATCTTAATAATATCAGCTATTCCATATGTTGTAACAAAAGCAAAGGAGAAAATTATGCGCTGCTCACGCAAATTTTAACTTAATTAACATCACATTCATTTCTCTTCTTGCATGATACATTGAGAATGCTCTACGTGAAATTTGTATTCTATTTGATTTCTTTTCATTGGGCTTTTGCTCTACCTCAAATAAACGTTCAAGATACAGGTAGGATAATGAACAATGAAAATAATGATACTTTACAGCACGATTGCTTTCGTGTCGATATACTCACGGAGAACGGTAAACATAGTCGTGAGATCGCATTCTACTGCGTGAGCGAATTGCCATCGGAATTGTCTACTGTAGCCGATAACACTTCGATAAAATTCACTTTTGCTGAACTTTCAAATCTAAGTGTCGCAAGCGAAAACCTGTACCTATGGTCAGCACCGATGAATATCGTTGAAAATTACCAATTCTACCTGAACGAGTTATCATTCACTAATAACTCAAATCTATCAGAAGAAGTGTTTTACAATTGCACATTTCCAAGATTTGGTTCAGTGTGTCAATATGAACTCGATCCTTACCATTCGAAACATTCATCGTTGATTGAAATCCTGGATGAGTTTTATCGTACATATAAATATACACCCATGAATTTGACATGTTATACACATTTACAATGCAATCGTGGTCATTCATCGTCATGTTTGGATTGGGCAGAGATATGCAATGGAGAAATTGATTGTTTCGACAGTGGAATTGACGAAAAGGATTGCTGGCAACTTGAGATCAACGAATGTGAAGATGGCGAATATCGATGCACCAATGGACAATGTATATCAAAAATATTCCTTCATGATGATTCACGTTTTCCTGATTGTCGCGACGGTTCAGATGAGTTTTTGAGCAGCGCTAACGAAAATAATGTTTGTGATGTGAAACAGCCACTATTTAAATGTGAAGACGTGCAATGCATCTGGAGAACGCGGACTAGTTCTTGTTGGTCTCATCGGCAACGAGTTATATTGAACAACTTATATTCAGTGAAAGATAATTCAACATGCGATCAATGTTGGGCTGTTTTTGTATGTTATGGCGTTGGATTATACAAATCTAGTTTATACAATTGTTCTACCGTGTCTGGTAATCGTACGCACACAGAAGTAATAGAGCTCCAATGTCCAGATATGTTTTATATGCCGATTATTCCAGTTCTATTCGGTGACATATATTTTGCCTATGAAAAATATAAATCGACTATGAATATTCCAAATCTATATGAATATCCTTATGTATGTTACAATAATTCTCGTTATGACAATTATTTTATTGAAGCAGCAAAGGAATCTCATGGTTATTCAACAACAATATTTAATAATCGAACGTGTCATCGTCTGTATGATCGATGGATTCCTGTAACATCTGATATGGGCTCAATAACTCAAACATATTTAACCTCGGATCTGCTTGAAAAACTTTGGCAATATCAACAAGTATATGAATATGATTCAACCATGTGTAAAAGATCAACTATGTACGAATGTATCAATTCATCAAAATGCATTTCGATACATCGTTTCAAGAATGGTGTACGTGATTGTCCTCATAGTGATGATGAAGACGAAATTTCGCTTAACCATACCTATTCATCGTTGCACCTATCGCCAGGTGTTTTTGAAGGAGCAATGAACGCTGAACACGCGAAAAAACATCTTCTATTTCAAACGATTTGTGATGGATTTACGGAGTTATTACCAATCAACATAAATGGACGCAATGAGACCGATGAAACCAACTGTGAATATTGGTCGTGCGATAATATTTATACTCGCTGTAATGGCCTATCGAACTGCCCTAATGGTGTCGATGAAACGGATTGTAATATAGCACCGTCGGCAAACTGTTCTTCGAATGAATTCTCATGTGTTTCACCTGTGACACCCTCAAGATTTATGTGTTTATCGACGAAACAAGTAGGCGATGGTAAAATTGATTGTCTCGGCGCTAGCGATGAACCGGCGTTATGTCGTACAGAGTATGTACAAACAAACCACTACAATTTTTATTGTAGAAATCCAGGAGTGGAACAATGCGTTACATTTTCTGAACTATGCAACAGCAATACAGACTGTTTCGATGGTGAAGATGAGCAATTTTGCACAACGGCCAAAAAATATTCTTTTTATTCGATTTGTTGGGCAGAGGAACGTTCAAATGCTACTGATATCGAAAATTTCTTATGTGAGCAAATGCAAGGCTATAGCAAAGAACGAATTATACATTTCACACTTGAACAGAAAACAAAATCAAGAAGTCGGCAGACAGATGAACAAAAAAGAAGTGCACTACTTCCATTTCCAATACCCATCCAGCCAAAATATAGTTTCTGTCATCGTGGTTTTCCTGTTAAACTCTGGTCACAAAATCAAACAAAACAAATATGTTTCTGTCCACCAAGCTATTATGGTAACCGATGTCAACATCAAAATCAACGGATAAGTTTATCACTTCAATTTCAAGCAGCACCAAATTCCTGGCAAACGCCATTTGCCATTGTAGTTTTGTTAGTCTATGATGATAACAGCGAGCAAATCATCGATTCTTATGAGCAATTCACTTATTTATCAATACGCGACTGTGACATGAAACATCACGTCTATTTGACATACACAGATCGGCCAAAGAACCAAACACGAAATTATGAAATTCGTATTGATGTGTACGAAAAGATCTCGTTGCATTATCGAGGAAGTTTCTTGTTTCCAGTAAAATTTTCATTTCTACCTGTCCATCGGTTGTCATTTCTTATTAACATTCCAAAGAGTGACACAAATGTTGAAACTTGTTCAACAAATCCATGTCAAAATGGTCCATGTAGAAAATATTTAAACAATAAACAAAGAACTTTTTGCCAATACTCGAAAACTGGGCCGAAATATTATTGTTCGAACGATTCATTACCTATCGGTATTTCTTCAAACAACAATCGACCGATATGTGTCTGTCCTATGAACAAATTCGGTCATCGATGCCTACTGAAGAGCACAGTTTGTGACAAGTTTGTTTGTCAAAATGGTGGTCAGTGTATTCCCATGGATGAATACGAAATAACGAAAAGATCGTCTTGCATTTGTCGGAGAGGTTTTACCGGTGACTATTGTGAAGTTAATGATACGCAATTAATCTTATCATTCGATAAACAACTTCTGTTACCATCATCGATTTTTATTCATTTCATTCAAGCGATGAGTAATAGTAAACCATTGCGATCAACAACATTTCACACAATTGTTCTTCAACAAAACTATCTCACTATTCTCTGGTCGAGAATATTTCATCTTATCTTTATTGAATTCTATCCAAATAATTACTATTTAGCTTTGGCTCAAAAGAATTATACCCAATCGCAAGAACTAAGGAAAACGATAAGTCCATCCGATCGTTGTCTCCATATTAATGAAACACTCAATCACAGTATCAGTGAATTACCTCTTATACATCGTATAAAATATTATCATTTACCTTGTCGACTTCATCCGTCTACTCTTTCGTGTTTCTATGATGATGTGCATCTATGTATATGCTACGATTTCAGACAACAACGTTTAGCCAATTGTTTCGAATTCACTCACAACATGACCTTTGATTGTTTTGGACAAAATGACTGTCAATACGGAGGCAAATGCTTTCAAGATACGCCTAAATGCCCCAAAAAATCCATGTGTTCTTGTCCTTCATGTTTCTACGGTAGATTATGTCAATTTACTACCAGTGGATTTGGTTTGTCACTCGATAGTATCTTAGGCCATCATATTTTGCCAAGTGTTAGTATTGTACATCAACCAATCATGGTGAAAGTAAGCATCGCGTTGAATATAGTCTGTGTAGTAATAGGTTTTATTAATGGAATTCTTTCGTTAATTACATTCCAAAATAAGAAAGTTTGCGAGGTTGGCTGTGGCTTATACTTATTCTATTCATCTATGACTACTTTAGCGATTATGATATTCTTTGTTTTGAAATTTTGGATACTCCTTATCGCCCAGATCCGTGGGATATCGCATCGGTTATTTTTACAAATTGAATGCGTTTCTTCAAATTTTTTACTTCGAATTGCTCTCAATATGGATCTATGGTTACAAGCAAGTGTTGCTTCTGAACGAGTAATAACTGTACTCAAAGGTGCACGTTTCGTCAGAAAGAAGAGTAGAACAGTAGCGAAGTTTATCGTCACAAGTCTCTTGCTATTCAATATTCTCACTTCAATTCATGATCCTATACATCGACGTTTAATTGATGAGGAAAATAATGACAATGATGAAAAACGAATTTGGTGTATTGTAACTTATTCATCTCGTCTACAAGCGTTTGATTATGCAATACAAGTTGTTCAATTCTTCGTACCATTTTTCATTAATCTCATTGCAGCGACAATTCTTCTCATAGCGAAGACTCGGCAACAATCAAACTTTCAAACTCAAAAGTCCATGAAAGAAATTTTACAAGAAAATTATCGTCAACATCGACATTTGTTCATAGCGCCTATTATTCTCGTTATTCTTGCGTTACCACGTTTAATTATTTCATTTACATCGAAATGCTTGAAATCGAGTAACAACGCTTGGGTATATCTAATTGGATATTTTATTTCATTTATTCCATCAACGCTCACATTTATCATATTCGTATTACCATCGAGGTTTTACAGAAAAGAATTCAGAAAATCTGTTAATTGCTATCGACAAACTTTAAGAAGGCATTTGCAGAAGATTTCATGAACAAAAATATAAAACAATCGCTTTTTCACTTACTAATAAAATCTGCTTGACACATGCTATCAGTATACTTAAGGATAGTATCCATCTTACCACTGATCCTTCATACAAATGACAATGTCTATCTAAAAAAACCGCGTAACGCCTGTGAAAAAGATCCGGTAGAGTCATTAAAAACAGTGACACACTTGACTGAAGTTTTGCAAATACATGTGGAATCATTTTCGGTTTTATTAGAAAATAGCTTATAGTTCGTTTGTAAAGCTGGAAAAAGTGTCTGCATTTCCGTTGATGATCTGACAATATCGAATGAAAGAAAGAAATTGCTTGTTGATTGAAAAAGATATAGATGGAAAGCAATTCAGATTTTGAAGATGTTCTCTCAATTTCTGTACGAATTGGTGGACAAGCGATAATATACCAGTCATACTCTTCCATGTATAAGATCAAGTGAAAAGTGACGGAAGAAAATACGCCAAAACGGAATATGAAATCGTTCTTTTATTAATCAATTGTATAAACGGTCTTTCTATGCATCAATTCGCTGCTTAGTATTCATTCTACTATGCTCCATATATGATTTAATTTATGCAGCGGCAATCGATATTATCAAAAAAGTGGTATCAAAGTGTTTCTATGTTTGTGCTTCCAAAGCAGTTTCATCTTGTCCGCAGGTACCATCTGAACAACATGAACTCATTCCTGGATTTAACGTAACAACGCATTTCATTACATTTCAATTACAATTCCAACAATTCAAAACTTGAACACCAGGGATCCAACTCAAAGCTGTACACTTGTTTAACTCATGTAACACAGATCATGTCCATCACAGCATCCACCATTCGGGCCACAACTGTTGTTGATTGCATCACAACCAGCGTTGTTTCTTCCGGTATAAGAACTGGGATTGTTGTCAAATCTCCATGAAGAATACGTTCACATACGGTCGGTTTTCATGACAGATTTCTAATTACATGCGCTTGCAATGTTTGCAAAACAATCAGAAGAAGTAAACATTTCATTAAGAGTTTCAGCATGTGCTCCCAATACAGAGAAACAGATTACTTTTCACTCACTAGGCTCTCTCACAGTATTTATAATACGATTAAGTGACTGTAACTGCGTTCTATACTCATTTATTTTTTGTCGGGCACTTAAATTTTATAGATATAATGAAAAAATTTCGAGCGAGTGTAATTTTTTTCATAAAAAGCGCGTATCTACGGGATATAGAAAAGATTCTTCTAGGCCTTCAATTAAGTCATAGAAGGGTATTTTTAGCAACTATACATTAAAACAATCATAAAGAAGATGAACGATTGTGTATCTGTTCACCGATGTAAAGACGAAATCTCGATCTATAAGAAACTGCTTGATATAGACCATTCCGATTTATGTTTGTGGATGCACTTGGTTTTGTCTTCCTTTGAGATGCTTACAATGTATTTTGGAGAAAACATGAATAAATTGCCGCCGAAACCGATGTGACACACATATGTATATATAAAATGGACACTAGAACAATCAACAGCTTTTGTTTGTCTTACCAATTTCAACTCTGATTCATACTTACTGCGTAATATACCCAAAACAGTGTAAAAGTAATATTTGCACTGAAATCAATATGTGCTTTGAGAACTGCATTATCGGCAGCATTGACAGTCAGAGAAATGATAAACGCAATTGCATACGGGGAAAGAACAAAGGTATTGATAAGCCCTTGGGTCAAGACTATTGATGTTAATTGTTTATCTAATTCACGTCGAACAAGTGGCACAGTATAGAAACGCATTTTTTGAAGATTTCGATAAGCCATTAATCCAAATGTTACTGTGGCCACGATGGGCAAAAATCCGATGAGAACAGGCGAATTGAAATAGGCACGAATTTGTAAGTAAACTGCATTTGTCATCATACAAACAATTGTGCCTGTCGTCACTGAAACGACTTGATTATAAAAGATCCAATAGGGAATTGCATACAAAAACCAAATAATACCGAAAATACAAACGAGATATCGAGCAAGTTTCACATTGCATAATTGCTGTAAACGTGGCCGAGAACATGTGGCACAATATTGGTCCATAATAGCAAAACAAAAGCAATTCAAAGAAAAGATTGTACCAAAAGCAATCGAGAATAAACGAAATTTGCAAAAAAAGACCGATTTGTCACTTCCATCAGTACCAATGATTGCGCCTAATATCCGCGGTAATACAGTAGTAAGCAACTGACCGCTATTCAAAAGCGACATGACTGTTAAATAAAATGCGCACGAACTTTGTCGGAACGTTTGAAGGCTAAGAAAGACGGTTATATTCAATATACATCCCAATAGACCGGCAAGAAATATCGCTGAACCAATAAAGGTAATCACTTCCTTTTCAATAAGATGTAGAGTTGCAAGCGAAGACGACGACATTCTGCTTGTAACTTCTAATTTTGTTTTCTTCTGACGAGCAGAGAAAGTCGCTATTTATTATAACGTTGAAAAGCGAATGAAGCTGAACACGTCTATCTTTTAGCTAAAGTAAGGTAACATATCGGTTTTTGAGAGGTTCTCCTGCGCAAATAATCAGCAGAGAAATGCGACACAATCTTTAAGACGCCTAGAGCAACAAATTAATTATTAATACAGCAGTGTATTATGAGATTGACGTATTCAATTATCTCATCCATGTGAGTCTGGTATTTTAATGAAAATATAATGTGAACGAGTACTTCGTTGTGTTACACAGCATACTGACTTAAAAAGCACATTTTAGAGTCATTTTTCATTAAAATTCTCTCGAAGATTAATACCACAAATGACAATCCAAGGTTCTTCATCTTCTCTTACGTCTATTACACATACAGAGCTATATGAATGTATGCTTTTATTCAATCTAGTTTTGCCAATATGTACACTGCAGGGAGAACTAAAATTAGAATCGATAGGAAATTAAGTATAGTTTTTTTTCGATTATCACCCGTAGCTTCAACTATATTTTTCAGAGCAGAAAAATTTGCAAAGTGACTGAACGATTTTTTGTTAAAAGTTTTCATTTGTTTGCTCGTACAAGTTTAGTGAGAAAGTTTTATCTCACAAACTAAAAACCTTCAGTTCTTTCAGAAAATAATCGGATAGCTTCTTGAACCGTTTCTTTCGTGATTCCATGTTCTTCGCTTGTCAAAACAAAATGATCTTGCATTCGCTTCGGATCTAATTTCAATAAATCCATATCATCAATCGCAATCCAATTTTTAATTAAGATATCGTCGTCGATAGTTTTGTTATCAAAATTTGTTAACCAATAACATATTTCATCTACTCGGGTTTTACCACGAGTACAAGTCCATCCGATGATCGGATCGATTCCAATCTCTCTAAATGATGTTTCAATTTGTCTACGTGACTTTGGAAATAATCTATAGAGGATTTTATGATTAATGATAGATAGTGGTTTGATTCTTACTTCCATGAGGATGATAAAACGATGCGAGCAGATGTGTTGTCAACGATAGTTTTCAAGTTTTCCAGACAGACCTGATTCATTCGTCGATTAAGACATAGCACTCCGTCAATATCCAAGAAAATAATGTTCAACTCCATCGAATTTAAGACAAAAGAAATGGAAAATGTCACTTATTGTCATTATTTGACTGTCTGATGCAATTCATCTTATATCAATTTTTCATTGGACGATATAGTTCACACTTTTCCTTTCTGTCTTCAGTTGACATCTATTGTGATCATAAAGAAATTCATTTTGTCATGAAGTGAAAACTAAAGAAATTGACAAATCTGCTTTTCAAAATGTTTAGTAAAGAATAAATAACAATTACAATCAGTTAAATCAAGGTAAAACGCTGTACTCGATTATTATTAAAGTCAGTAACGTAAAGAAAGGTTTCATTGACATTTAATATAACACTGTAAGGAAGGTTTAGCAGTGATGCGTTCGCCCCAGCAACATTAGTGATACCCGAGACTGTTACTCCATTTGTCGCTGCGGTATCCCAACGCTGTATTCGACTGTTTAAATGGTCAGCGACATATAAGGCACCGGTCTTGTTAGAAAGATAAATACCGACAGGCGCATTGAATTGATTATTTCCTGTTCCACCACCATTTCCGCCTGCTACAGTAGTACCGTTATTTGGATTACCTAATCGATAGCGTTGAATACGATGATTCAAAGTATCAGCAATATAAAGATATGAGTTCGTTTCATCAAGATATATACCATAAGGCGTATTAAGTTGATTACTATTGGGACCAGCCACTCCGGTTCCAGCAACAATAGTACCGCTCGAAGCATTCAGTGCCCATTTTAAAACTCGATGATTAGTTGTATCACTTATGTACATATTTCCAACTGAATCAAGAATAATTGCGCCACTGTTATTAAGCTGACTCAGTAAACTGCCCGAAATCCCAGTGCCTGCTACACGAATTCCAGTGGAAGCGTTCTGCTTCCAGAGCATAACTCGATAGTTCTTGCTATCGGATATATACATATTCATTGCTGAATCCAAGTATATGCCGGCTGGTTGATACAACCGTGCATTCGTAGCGTCTGCCGTACCATCGCCAGCTACTATTGTTCCATTTAATGAGCCTTCTCGTAATCTAATAACACGATTATTAGCAAGATCGCTGACGTATATGAATCCATACGGATCGATGAATAATCCTGCAGGGGTTTTTAATGCATCCAATGAATTTCCTGGTGCACCATTCGATCGACCGCCCACAGTTGTCCCAAGTTGTAGAGAAGCAGCTACAAAATAGAATTCCTTGAAAAATTCATCTGTACGAGTAACGCACTTACGACCACATTGTTTGCGTGGTAGACACGTATAGTTCAAATCAGTTCGACATGCATAACTCATATTACATTTTGCTCCAAGTAATTTTTGACTTTTGCACACCGAGCCATCAAAGTATGTGTGAGGTAGGCATTGACAAGTTGCTTCGATACATACTAGATATCTATTACCTTGGCAAGATGAACAAGGTGCTCCTAGAGCAGCGAACTGCGCCGGTGACACTTGAATTGATCCAACGCGTGATTGCGTTGATGCTGATGCAATAATTGAGCCTGATGTTGATAGGTCGCCTTCAAAAAGACGACAGCGTCGTGTTTGAGCATTGAAGTCGAAGGTACGACAGTTTGCAATTGCAAAACATTGTGCCGTGCATAGAATCAAAGATTTAGCAGAATATTGAAATAGTAACGTTTGATTATCGAAAGCGGAATATTCCAATCCGGCTTCCGACACATTTGTCTGCGACTGCCAAATTGTTTGGAGATAAGCTGGCACGATTAACCATAGAAATAGAATGACAATTTTCAAGTAACGATTGAAAAGCATTCTCTCAACAAGTATTGGGATGTGAAAATAGAGTGGAAAAACTAACGGTTGCTTATAGCACTTTTTACATCCATATATGATATGTCATCTCGAGAGTTGTCATTCTCGCTTCCTACCCGCGTCATTCAGTGCGAAAACTTGTCCTCTTCTATTTATAGGACAATAGCAATTAAACTCTTCAACATTCGATAGTTTTATGAAAAGATATAATCAGTAAAATATGAAATTCCGTCTGTTGCTTTTCCAGATAGTTATAGAAATACTCGATTCTTATTCGGTCACTAGTAATTTGTTTTGTTGAAAATCCGTCGGTCAAACCATCACGGGTGATATTCGAAATAGTTAAGAAAGCGTTGGGATACTTAATGTCAAATCTTGTTGATAAAATGCTCGGTTTTTCTGTATTAAAATTAATTACCAAGATTTTTCTAGTTGGATCATACTGAGCATAAGTGACACGTATGGTTGGATATTGAACAGCTACAACTTCTGGTTCTTTATTTTGGAATTTTTCATGAAATTTTGTCGCAAAAATGCTTTTGCTTCTGCACGATTTTCTCCCATTAACAAAGATAAAAGAACGTTCGTTGTGACCCAGTTGGAATAAACGGTGTCCGTTTCATAATAAAATGATTCGAAATATCCGTCATGATCTATATCTAAATATGTACCGAAATTGTTCTCAAACCATGCATATGCGCACGCTAATTTTTCTGTGGCATCGATCGAACATTGCTTTTCAACCATGAGATAAAATGATGTCGCTATCCAACGATTCATTTGCATTCGTACACCAATGTAACCACCCGCTTCAAGATAGCAACCCGACTCTGCTGGTTGCCAATATTTATTCTTGTACATTACCTTCCAGCCGTTACAAATAATGTCTGATGTTTGATTTTGATCGTTTTTGTATATTGGAATATCTTCGAGTGCATGATGATCGAGAAAGTCTTTCCACTTCGATGATATTCGCGAACTACATCATAGAGTTTCAAACCCAAATGAGGATGATTTTGACAAATCGTATACGCCCATCCAGGTTCGCACGATAGATAGCATGCACAAGTTGACTGGTTGTATAATGAATTGTCGTTTCAGTTGAATTATCTTTAGTCCAAACGAAGTCAAATCCTTGTGTATCGTAAATTAAATCGCCCGAAATACTCTCATATAATGCTATCAGTTGCAACAAGTGTCCACTGTACATGATGTTCTCGTTGTAAACAGGATCAGGAAATGTCGAAGTTTTTTGCCAATATTGATCGATGTATCCCCATACTTTCGACGTTAGCATACGTTTGATTGTATCATTTAGGATGTTCACAGCCAATTCACGGTAGTTTGGTGTGCGATAAACTAAAGCTGCGGCAGTATAACCGATATGAGCTAGGGGATACCGAATGGCGGTCCGTCGTAATTCTTCTCCCAGCCATTCCAAGTAATATTTGTTGATGTTTGAAGATATGTCAAGTAGGATATGAATCGGATGAACTTTAACTCTTTTTCAGATAAAACAGAATTCACCGCTACTGATGATGATGACGCAAGCAGAAAAGATGCGAAAATAAAGTATGAAAGATTGCTCGACATCTTGAGTGTATAGAACGAAGTGCTGATTTTACTCGTGTTAGGAATAATGATAAGAATTGAAAGAAAAAGAACTTTGTTTTTCGATAAGAGAAATATGCGTGCCGATGTAGAAGGCATTCTCGAGAAGTCACGTGCTTCAATCTGCGTCGATGCATTACGTATCATCTGAGAAATATCACATTGAGGGTGTATGTTTCTACTTATTCCATTTTGCATCGTCAAAGTTTTACTCGAAATAAACTTTGCCACTTACGAATAGTGCTATCCTCGGTTTTATTAGAATATTTATATATAATTCTCATTTTTACATTCGACAGATAATACATGGAGAGTAATGTCTACTAGAGTAGAAGAAACTTGAACGTGTAGTAAAATAAACAAAATGTTCCTCGAGCACAGCGTGATTCCTAGTTGTTGTAGGTGAAAGTGAGCAGTTGTCCTGACATGTTTTGACAGAGTTGCAGCATTTGGTTATAGTTGAGCATATAGATTTACTCGATGCAGCTGGTTGAATCACCGTCATATACGTTTAAAGTAAGTGAAAGAAGATAAAGAAATAACAACAATACAGGCAGTATCGATTACATCGGATGGAATAAAGTGAATAAACACTACATAAACAGGAACTCAACAATGAGTAATATATTTTATGTATTATTTCGTATTTTGATTGTTGCTCATATTTATATCGAGGATTAAGTCGTTGAGAGAAAACAGTTTCTTTTTAGTATTAAAAACATTATTTTTAACTTCCATGAATCATTGTTCATGATAGCTTTCAAGTACTGCATATAATTATTGCACAAAAATCATTTATGCACCGTCTCATTTTTGATAGAAAAATGGCGCAATATATGTTTCTTCATATTCGTAACTAAGTTTCTATACATAACACGCTCCACTCGTTGTTTTTTTAATTATGGCTCCGCCTTTAGTCGCCCATACATATACTGATGTAAAAATATCAAACAACGAAATAGCTTATATCAAATGTCGCTATTACTTCTTGTTGGTGCGGCTGGTGCAGCTGGTGTAGCTGGTTATGCATGGGCTAAACATCGACAACGTCACGCTATAGCGAACGGATATGTGACATATCATGATAGTGGCTATGGTTCTCCACAGTACGGTCATTTCCATTATGGTAATACAGGAGGCCATCGGCATGGAGGAAATTCTCGTTATACATACCATTATACCAGTCGATATTAATTTTTCCTTTTTATGATGATTGTTATAAACTTTTTGGAATACATATTTCAGTAAATAGAATCCATTTTTGACAAAATGCAAGTCGTACTTCTATATAGTGAACACGAAAAGACTTGATGTCAGAGTTTGTGTTTGATAAAGAACTTGCGCAGTTTCTAACGACCATGAAGAAAGAAAAAAAGAAAGAAGAAAAAGTGTCGGCACGTGCGTATTGTCACATGTACGTCAAGAGTTCTCCTTGGTGATCCTCTAAGAACAAATGATTTTTATATTGTTTGTCATTACTGGTGTTTTACTAGTAGTTTATCTGAAACAGAAATACTTTACGCTCCATGGTTATGTACCTGGTTTAGCACCTCAATTTCTATTCGGAAATCTGCTTCAATCAGGATTTTTCAATGGCAATTCTCCACCAATGATTTTGTCAACATTTCAAAAGCGTTTTGGAGATGTTTTTCAATTCTGGTTCGGTCCTTCGCGTTTCATTGTGATCAACAATATCACTGATGTCGAGCACGTTCTCACTCATCGGAATATTTACGATCAAGGTGATATATTCATCGAAAAATTCAGCATCAACTATTCTCAAAGTCTTATTTCAACTAAAGGTCTGTCTCAGATTGCTAGTCTATGGCCATTTCTATGTAAAATAATCTCTCTAGGTATCCAATTCAAACGGCACAGCTCAATCGTTTCGCCATTATTCCGACGGAGTAAAGTCATTTCTCATTTCGACTTGATTATTGGTTGTACTGATAAATTACTAACTAAATGGCGTAAAACTGAAGCAAAAACAATCCATGTTGACATTGTCAGTCAATGTCACAATCTAGTGCTCGCCATTTTTGGATTTATTGCATTCGATTATGACTTAGAAACGCTTGACGATGGAGATAATGAACTCACCCTCGCACTACGCACAATTATCAATAGTATTATGACGATTCTCGCTTTGCCGAGAATTCTGGCTAAAGCCTATGTAACTCTCAGCTATCGACAACGACAAGCACGAAATACTATCGAACGATATATCTACAGAATGATAGAACATGAACAAGCGACCGCACAAGGAAAGCATACATCTCTGATTGCTTCGTTAGTTCATTCTTTGCGAATGAATGAGCATCTCGAAGCAACTGAAGATATCGACGAAGACAAGAGAGGTCTATCACGAAATGAAGTTGTTGATGAAATGGTGGCTTTTTTAATAGCAGGTTTTGAATCCACGTCATCGACATTAGTCTGGTTCATTCATTTAGTGAGTAAACATGCACAAGTACAACAAAAGATCAAAGCAGAACTAATAGCACAAGATTGTCTCTACCATTTATCATCGGATCGCCTTGACTCCTTAGTCTATTTGAATTGTGTTATTAACGAAGTTCTCCGATTTATTCCACCTGCTACTGGCACCATTCGGACCTTAACTAGAGACGATTGTCTACCTGCAACGAATGTTCAATTAGTTAGAGGAGACTCAGTGCTGATTCCATTTCATAGTCTTGCACATGATCCTCGTTATTGGTCGGTCGATCCAAATCTATTTTACCCCGAAAGATTTCTCGGCGAAGATCAAAATCATCATCCCTACGCACTCATTCCATTCGGAGGTGGTCATCGTCAATGCATCGGGCAGGATCTTGCTCGATTTGAGCTGAAAGTGATTGTAGCTCGATTGATGCAAAAGATTACATTCGATGATGCTGGTCCTGAAGTCAATGCCGGTGGACACTCGATGGGACTTGCTATTCTACCTAAACATATTGGAGTATCAATTGAGTTTGACTGATAGTTTCTTTCTGTTGCCCAGACACTTGGCATGTTAACTGTAGATGTTCTATTGTAATAGCAAGAAAAGGAGAAATACAAACGATGATTTACTAGCAACTGAAACCGATTGGTCAGGCGAAATACGAGTTCGTTTTGGAGATTTGTATCTCTCTTTTTTTCTAGTATCGTCGAAGATCTTTCAAATGAACTAATTTATGAAATATTTCATGGACTCCACAACTAACTACTACTATACCACATTCTAATCGAGTTGATTCATTAAATTTATCTAATCCGTTCGCCACTAATATGTGGTCGCCTTATTCCAGCCTATAACTCAGAATTCGGTCCGTCTTGAATCAGTTAATCTAAAAACCATCGAACCTGAAAAATCGAGCAGTTGATTGATAGTCTATGTTCATTACCTGCTAATTATATCTTCAGTGGTGATCTCATCTCTAGGTATACGCGAAAATTCAGCCGAGATTTCTGAGATATTGCGAAGCGTCTCTCCAAAATTTCCAACTATTAATCTACTCCGCTACACATAAATTTAGTTCAATCGATCATCTCGATAGTTTGTTACACTCTGTTCCATAATTACAACATTTATCAATTTCATGCTTGTTTAGTCATGATTTAATTAAGTCCAAGGAAATTCAATAACTCTAAATTCACTAAAAGCTGTTTCTTTGGAACTTCATTGGGTTAGGTTTTATATTTTTGAGACAATAGTATTACACCCTTATCATAGATTCTATTAGGTATTCTGTAGATAAAATCGACTATACGTACAGTGATCGATGCGTGCAAGTGATCCAATCTTATCTTCCAAATCGGTAGGCCTTTGATTCCAAAAATATAATTAGCTGATGAGCGTCAGCTATCCGAAGCTCAAATCGACAAATTTAATTCATCATTTTAACTCGAGCATCATTGACTGTTTAAACATCGGTATCATCTTCAATCGGGCACTGCTAGTTTTTATTCAACCTCTTCACACAGCTAAAGACATCTTTACTTAACTATTAATAAAACTTTTCTTCTCATAGAAGAAAACGTAAACAACCCAGCTGAAACCAACTGTCAAACAGTTTCTAATATCAATAACGATCCAATTCGTGATGCTCATCTCGATACAACTGAACTGGAACAATTTTCCGTTTATTTTCTATACAAACTAGTCATATCTATCTGCAACTTTCGTTTCCAGCAATTGATTGATTTGATNTTAACAACTGACCAACCAGAACCACCGCCATACAGAGCAGTCAACCATGCACTTCCGGCAAAACCCATTGCAATCGATGTTGTCAACGGCAATGATACTAAATCGTAACGTTCACCACCCCATGATGAAATAATTGGAAGCGTGTTACAATCTGTAGTTTGCACAGCAATCGAAAGTCCGGAATAAGTAGAACTTGAGCAATTTGCCATACAGCTCATCGTGCCAGCGACTGGAATAGTTGTTTGAGCAGTGACATCTGCCTCCGTACAATAAGGTGGACCACCGAAATAGGTCGCTTTTCGATCAAAAAAGTATCGTTGATGTATGAGAATTTGTGCACTGCTACCCGATGGTGTACTGTTCAACGGACGCCTAAAAAGAAAAGAAATAACAAACGGATGGTAATAAGACAATAGTAAATGAGACGTACCATGAAATAATACCACCACGAAAATGTGATCCATCGATTATGCCGTATGACATGCACAATAGGATCAACGCGAGACACGCAGTTTGTACCATAGTATTAGTGTATAACTGTTGTTTCGATTGAAGCAATATGAAATGAAAACTGACTTGTATGTTCGTCTTTTTATACGCGTAGGTGAATCAATCTTACCTGTAAGCATTCTAGTGAAAAAAAGTGCGTTCGTTTTGCGTATTATGAAAATATTTAATTTTCGAGTATCAACAACAGAATTTTCACTTTGGTTTCTCTCACAACGAATGGAAAGATGTTGTAAAAACAAACTGAGTGTTTGCGTTTGTTTATTCGGTCATCCTTTTGCACTTTTGTCATGCGCAATTAACACGCATAATGCCTTGGATGACCCTACTGAATGGCATTCGTGTTTATATACGCCTCTCAGTAGTTACCAATAGTTTCTATAGAAAAAAAAATTATTCTACTTTTCAAAATTTTGATTTCGTAAATCTGGTCATATACAGTGTGTCAATAACTCTTAGTGAAATATTCTTAGCATTTATAGATGATCTATATAGTCATGTTCATTATATTTCTCTGTTCGAATATGTTATGATCATTTTGTAATTGAATTTCTATCGAATTGCATGCATCATCGATAAAAATCGGGCCCACACGGTAAGAGCTGTATGATTTTCTTTCCATACTATATACAAAAGCATATGTAACAGTCGTTAGTCATCATTTTGATTGGTTTTATCCTCATATATGACTTAGTTCACATAAAATACGTGCCGATTGTTTACAAAAGCCGCCGTTAACTTTTGTCATCTCGCATGGCATCTGGTAAATGCCGTTGAGAACATATGAAATTCTTTTTCGTTCTGTTCTCGGCGCGTGTTTCTCCTTACACAACTAAAGAGATTGTTGTAACAGAGAGAGGTGCAATGAAATATTATATTAGGCAAATTCAATCGCTACGACGTCTTCAACGAGCTTAACAACGGCAAAGTAGAAAGTTTGATAGATTCTACTTGTTTGAAATGTACTCGAGGTTGTGCATCTACGTGTGTTGGTTGTTTAAATCGCTATAAGTCGATGAAAAATATTCGTGACAAGTAAAAAATCATAAATGCTTGATCATATTTTTATTAATGATCAATAAATTCGCCTTTTTAAAAAAAGGTGAATTGGATGATTTTGTTTTCATGTTATCCTCGCTGAAATAGTTTGTCAGAACTATGATCTAAACCACTGCATTTCTTTTTCAACAAAATTATCATTTGCATCATTGCTAAACATTAAAAAAGAAACTAAATTTTAAGTAAATGTATTTTACTTGCTGATATGTATGTTGTTTTCTTGTACATAGTGTTGCAATAAGTAAGAGGAAGGAACCAGGTGAGTTTAATGTGAAGGAAGTCACATTTCCGCGACAGTGCAAGACTGTAGCTTATATCACACCTATATTCGAGGTCGTGATACTTTCCTAAACTCAAATATTTGAATACGAAATTCTTTGATTTTTAATAGTTCAAATTGACGTCAGCAACACAGAATAACATGTTTTTCTCTATTTTATCATAAAACCTTAATGATATCAACTATTCCATATGCTGTAACAAAACAAAAGGAGAAAATAATGCGCTACTTGTATAAATTTAAATTTAATTAACATCAAATTCATTTCTCTTCTTGCATGATACGAAGAGAATGCTCTATGTGACATTTGTATTCTGTTTTATTTCTTTTCATTGGGTTCTTGCTCTACCTCAAATCAACTTTCAAGATACAGGTAAGATAATGAACAATGAAAATGATGATATTTTACAGCACGATTGCTTTCGTGTCGATATATTCACCGAGAACGGTAATCATAGTCGTGAAATCGCATTCTACTGCATGAGCGAATTCCCATCGAAATTGTCTACTGTAGCCAGTAACACTTCGACAAAATTCACTTTTGCTGAACTTTCAAATCTAAGTGTCACAAGCGAAAACCTCTATCTATGGTCAGCGCCGATGAATACTGTTGAGAATTACCAATTCTACTTGAACGAGTTATCATTTACTAGTAACTCATATCTATCGGAAGAAGTGTTTTATAATTGTACATTTCCAAGATTTGGTTCAGTATGTCAATATGAACTCGATTCCTACGATTCGAAACACTCATCGTTGATTGAAATCATGGATGAGTTTTATCGTACACATATATATACACCCATGAATTTGACATGTTATACACATTTACAATGCAATCGTGGTCATTCATCGTCATGTTTGGATTGGGCAGAGATTTGCAATGGAGAAATTGATTGTTTCGACAGTGGAATTGATGAAAAGGATTGCTGGCAACTTGAGATCAACGAATGTGAAGATGATGAATATCGATGCACCAATGGACAATGTATATCAAAAATATTCCTTCGTGATGATCCAACTTTTCCTGATTGTCGCGACGGTTCAGATGAGTCTTTGGGCACTGCTAACGAAAATAATCTTTGTGATGAGAAACAGCCATTATTTAAATGTGAAGACGTGCAATGTACCGGGAGAACGCGGACTGGTTCTTGTTGGTCTCATCGTCAACGAGTTATATTGAACAACTTGTATTCAGTGAAAGATAATTCAACATCCGATCAATGTTGGGCTGTTTTTGTATGTTATGGCGTTGGATTATACAAATCTAGTTTATACAATTGTTCTACCGTGTCTGGTAATCGTACGCACACAGAAGTAATAGAGTTCCAATGTCCAGATTTGTTTTATATGCCGATTATTCCAGTTCTATTTGGTGACATTTATTTTGCTTATGAAAAATATAAATCGACTATGGATATTCCAAATTTATATACATATCCTTATGTATGTTACAATAATTCTCGTTATGACAATTATTTTATCGAAGCAGCAAAAGAATCTCATGGTTATTCAACAACAATATTTAATAATCGAACGTGTCATCGTCTGTATGAACCATGGATTCCTGTAACATCTGATATGGGCTCAATAACTCAAACATATTTAACCTCATATCTACATGAAAAACTTCGGCAATATCAACAAGTATACGAATATGATTCAACAATGTGTAAAAGATCAACTATGTACGAATGTATCAATTCATCAAAATGCATTTCGATACATCGTCTCAGGAATGGTGTACGTGATTGTCCCCACAGTGATGATGAAGACGAAATTTCGCTTAACCATACCTATTCTTCGTTGCACTCACCGCTAGATGTTTTGGAAGAAGTGATGAACGCTGAACACGCGAGAAAACATCTTCTATTTCAAACGATTTGTGATGGATTTACGGAGTTATCACCAATCAACATAAATGGACGCAATGAAACCGATGAAACCAACTGTGATTATTGGTCGTGCGACAATATTTATACTCACTGTAATGGCCTATCGAATTGCCCTAATGGTGCCGATGAAACGGATTGTAATATAGCACCATCAGCAAACTGTTCTTCAAATGAATTTCCATGTGTTTCACCTATAACAAATCAATTTATGTGTTTATCGACGAAGCAAGTGGGTGATGACAAGATTGATTGCCTTGGCGCTAGCGATAAACCGGCCTTATGTCGTACAGAGTATGCACAAACAAACAACTACAATTTCTATTGTAGAAATCCAGGACCGGAACAATGCGTTACATTTTCTGAACTATGCAACAGCAATGTAGATTGTTTCGATGGTGAAGATGAGCAATTTTGCACAACACCCAAAAAATATTCTTTTTATTCGATTTGTTGGGCAGAGGAACGTTCAAATGCTACGGATGTCGAAAATTTCTTATGTGAACAAATGAAAGACTATAGCAAAGAACGAATTATACATTTCACACTTGAACAGAAAACAAAGTCAAAAAGTCGGCAGACGAATGAAAGAAAAAGAATTGCACCACTTCCAATTCCAATACCCATCCAACCAAAATATAGTTTCTGTTATCGTGGTTTTCCTGTTAAACTCTGGTTGCAAAATCAAACAAAACAAGCGTGTTTCTGTCCACCAACCTATTATGGTAACCGATGTCAACATCAAAATCAACGGATAAGTTTGTCACTTAAATTTCAAGCAGCACCGAATTCCTGGCAAACGCCATTTGCCATTGTAATTTTGTTAGTCTATGATGATAACAACGAACAAATCATCGATTCATACGAGCAATTCACTTATTTATCAGTACGCGACTGTGATATGAAACATCACGTCTATTTGACATATGCAGATCGGCCAAAGAACCAAACAAGAAATTATGAAATTCGTATTGATGTGTACGAGAAGATCTCTTTGCATTATCGAGGAAGTTTCTTGTTTCCCGTAAAATTTTCATTTTTACCTGTCCATCGGTTGTCATTTCTTATTAACATTCCACAAAGTGACGCAAATGTTGAAACTTGTTCAACGAATCTATGTCAAAATGGTCCATGTAGAAAATATTTAAATAATAAACAAAGAACTTTTTGTCAATACCCAGAAATTTGGCCGAAACATGATTGTTCAAACGATTCAATACCTATCGGTATTTCTTCAAACAATAATCGATCGATATGTGTCTGTCCTATGAACAAATTCGGTCATCGATGCCTACTGAAGAACACAATTTGTGACAAATTCGTTTGTCAAAATAGTGGTCAGTGTATTCCCATGGATGAATACGAAACAACGAAAAGATCGTCTTGCATTTGTCGGAGAGGTTTTACTGGTGACTATTGTGAAGTTAATGATACGCAATTAATCTTATCATTCGATAAACAACTTGTCTTACCATCATCGATTTTTATTCATTTCATTCAAGTGATGAGTAACAGTAAACCATTGCGATCAACAACATTTCACACAATTGTTCTTCAACAAAACTATCTCACTATTCTCTGGTCGAGAATATTTCATCTTATCTTCATTGAATTCTATCCAAATAATTACTATTTAGCTTTGGTTCAAAAGAATTATACCCAATCGCAAGAACTAAAGAAAACAATAAGTCCATCCGATCGTTGTCTTCATATTAATGAAACGCTCAATCACAGTATCAGTGAATTAGCTCTTATACATCGTATAAAATATTATCATTTACCCTGTCGATTGTATCCGTCTACTCTTTCGTGTTTCTATGATGATGTTCATCTATGTATATGCTACGATTTTAGACAACAACGTTTAGCCAATTGTTTCGAATTCAATCACAACATGACCTTTGATTGTTTTGGACAAAATGATTGTCAAAACGGAGGAAAATGCTTTCAAGATACGTCTAAATGTCCCAAAAAATCCATGTGTTCTTGTCCTTCATGCTTCTACGGTAGATTATGCCAATTTACTACCAGTGGATTTGGTTTGTCACTCGACAGTATCTTAGGCCACCATGTTTCGCCAAATGTTAGTATTACACATCAACCAATCATGGTGAAAATAAGCATCGCGTTGAATATTGTCTGTGTAGTAGTAGGTTTTACTAATGGAATTCTTTCGTTAATTACATTCAAAAATAAGAAAGTTCGCGAGATTGGCTGTGGCCTGTACTTATTCTATTCATCCGTGGCTTCTTTAGCGATAATGATGTTCTTTGTTTTGAAATTTTGGATATTCATTACCGCTCAGACCCGTGGAATATCGAATCGGCTATTTTTACAAATTGAATGCGTCTCTTTAAATTTTTTACTTCGAATTGCCCTCAATATGGATCTATGGTTACAAGCAAGTGTTGCTTCTGAACGAGTGGTAACTGTACTCAAAGGTGCACGTTTTGTTAGAAAGAAGAGTAGGACAATAGCGAAGTTTATCATCACATGTCTCTTGGTATTCAATATTCTCGCTTCAATTCATGATCCTATACATCGACGTTTAATTGATGAAGAAAATAATGACAATGATGAAAAACGAATTTGGTGTATTGTGACTTATTCATCTCGTCTACAAGCGTTTGATTATACAGTACAAGCTGTTCAATTCTTCGTACCATTTCTCATTAATCTTATTTCAGCGACAATTCTTCTCATAGCGAAGACTCGGCGAGAATCAAACTTTCAAACTCAAAAATCCATGAAAGAAATTTTACAAGAAAATTATCGTCAACATCGACATTTGTTCCTAGCGCCTATTATTCTCGTTATTCTTGCGTTACCACGTTTGATTATTTCATTTACATCGAAATGCTTGAAATCGAGTAACAATGCTTGGGTATATCTAATTGGATATTTCATTTCATTTATTCCATCAATGCTCACATTTGTCATATTCATATTACCATCGAGGTTTTACAGAAAAGAATTCAGCAAATCTATTAATAATTATCGACAAACTGTAAGAAGACATTGGCAGAAGATTTCATGAAGCGAGTGTGCTTAAAGATAGTATTCATTTTGCTACTCATCCTTTATACAAATGACAATGTTCGCCTAAAACAAACGATATTCTTTAGCGATTTTTTAGAAAAGTAGTGCAGGGTCATGAACGAACCAAACACCCTCATAATGAGTGAAAACGTGCAGCAAAGAGATCCGATATAGTCATTAAAAACGCTACATTCGAATATTTGTATGTGACATATTATGTGACACACTTGATTGAAGTTTTGCAAGTACATGTTGAATACTTTTTCGATTTTATCAGAAAATATCTTACAGTTCGTTTGTAAAGCTGGAAAAAATGTCTTCGTTTCCGTTAATGATCTGACAATATCAAATGAAAGAAAGAAAATGCTTGTTGTTAATGAGGAAAACTATGGATCAAATAGTTTTGAAGATATTATAATTATACCGGCATAGTGATTTGATTTCAACTGATTCAAATTGTCCTTGATAGTTTGATTAATCAACTTACATGATCCGCGTAATGCTTGAAAGAGAAATTTACCTGTCTGTCGAATATTGATAAATCGATATTCGAGTTGTAATAAACCCGATTGTGTGTAACACAAATGCTCGAACATGCTTCGTGTAATATATACTTATAATATCAAAGTTATTTTCATAGTTGGTGACCATCTTTTTGTATGTACATGTCAGCGTTTCGCAATACGATCGATTTAATAGGGTATACTCATGGAAAATCGAATTTTGTAAAGTATTTAATTTCATCGAAGTAATGCAAAAATTGTATAAGAGAAAAATCGCTAACGATAAGATTTAATAAGCGAGTAAACAATCTTGTTGATGCTCTTGTCAATTGAAAGAGATATAGATGGAAAATGATTCAGATTTTGAAGGTGTTCTCTCAATTTCTGTACGAATCGATGGACAAGCGATAAGATAGCAGTCGTATTCTTTCATGTATAAGATCAAGTGCAAAGTGGCGGAAGAAAATATAACAAAACTGAATATGAAATTTTTTTTATCAATTCATAGTATAAACGGTCTTTCTACGCATCAGTTCACTGTTTAGTATCCATTCTATTATGCTGCATATATGATTTAATTTATGCAGCAACAATCGATATTATCAAAAAAAGTGGTATCAAAGAGTTTCTATGCTTGTGCTTCCAAAACAGTTTCATCTTGTCCACAGGTACCAGCTGAACAACATGAACTCATTCCTGGATTTAGCATAACAACGCATTTCATTACCTTCCAATTACAATTCCAACAATTCAAGCCTTGAACGCCAGGAATCCAACTCAAAGCTGTACATTTGTTTAATTCATAACACTGGTCATGTTCATCACAGCATCCACCATTCGGGCCACAACTGTTGATGATCGCATCACAACCAGCGTTGTTTCTTCCAGTAAGACCTGGCGTTGTTGTCAAATCTCCATGAAGAATACTTTCACGCACGGTCGGTTTTCGTGACAGATTTTTAATTACATGCGCTTGCATTGTTTGTAGGACATTCAGAAGAAGTAAAAATTTTATTAAGATTTTCAGCATTTGTTCCCGATGCAGAGAAACAGAGTACTTTTCACTCACTAGGCTCTTTCACGGTATTTATAATACGATTAAGTGACTGTAATGCCGTTCTATACTCATTTATTTTTTGTCGGGTACTTAAATTATATATATATATATATTCGAGCGGGTGTAATTTTATATAAAAAGCGCGTATCTATGGGATATAGAAAAGATTATTTTAGGCCTTCAATCAAGTCATAGAAGGATATTTTCAGAAACTACGCATAAAAAAATCATAAAGAAGATAAACGATTGTGTATCTGTTCATCGATGTCAAGACGAAATCTCGATCGATAAGAAACTGCTTGATATAGACCATTCCGATCTATGCCTGTGGATGCACTTGGTTTTGTGTTCCTTTGGGATGCTTACAATATATTTTGGAGAAAACATGAATAAATTGCCGCCGAAACCGATGTGACACACATATATTTATATAAAACGGACACTAGAACAATCAACAGCTTTTGTTTTTCCTACGAATTTCAATTCTGATTCATACTTACTGCGTAGTATACCCAAAATAATGTAAAAGTAATATTTGCACTGAAATCAATATGTGCTTTGAGAACCGCATTATTGGCAACATTGACAGTCAGAGCGATGATAAACGCAATTGCGTATGGGGAAAGAACAAAGGTATTGATGAGTCCTTGGATCAAGACTATTGATGTCAACTGTTTATCTAATTCACGTCGAACAAGCGGCACAGTATAGAAACGCATTTTTTGAAGATTTCGATAAGCCATTAATCCGAATGTTACTGTGGTTACAATGGGCAAAAATCCAATGAGAACAGGCGAATTGAAATAGGCACGAATTTGTACGTAAACTGCATTTGTCATCACACAAACGGTTGTGCCTGTTGTAGCTGAAACGACTTGATTATAAAAAATCCAATAGGGAATTGCATACAAAACCCAAATAGTACCGAAAATACAAACGAGACATCGGGCGAGTTTCAGATTGCATAATTGCTGTAAACGCGGCCAAGAACATGTGGCACAATATTGGTCCATAATAGCAAAACAAAAGCAGTTCAAAGAAAAGATTGTACCAACAGCAATCGAAAATAAACGAAATTTGCAAAAAAAGAACGATGTATCACTTCCATCAGTGCCAATGATTGCACCTAATATTCGCGGTAATACAGTAGTAAACAATTGACAGCTATTCAAAAGCGACATGACTGTTAAGTAAAATGCGCAGGAACTTTGTCGGAACGTTTGAAGGCTAAGAAAGACGGTTATATTCAATATACCTCCCAATAGACCGGCAAGAAATATTGCTGAACCAATAAAGGTAATCACTTCTTTTTCAACAAGACGTAGAGTTGCAAGCGAAGCAGACGACATTCTAACTTTGTTTTTCTTCTGAGGAGCAGATAAAGTCGCTATTTATTATAACGTTGAAATGCGAATGAAGCTGAGAAGAGCTATTATTTAATTAAAGTAAGGTAACATATCCGTTTTTGAGAGATTCTCGTGCACAACTAATCAGCAAAGAAATACGAGACAATCTTGGATACGCCTAGAGCAACAAATTAATTATTGATACAGCAATGTAGTATGAGATTGACATATTCAATTATCTCATCCACCAGACTTCGGTATTTGAATGAAAATATAATGTGAACGAGTACTTCGTTGTGTTATACAACATACTGACTTAACGAGCGTACTTTAGACTCATTTTTCATTAAAATTCTCTCGAAGATTAATACTTCAAATGAGAATACAAGGTTCTTCATCTTCTCTTGCGTCCATTACTCATACAGAAAATGTAAACGTTGCCATGCGAATATATGCTTATATTTAATCTAGTTTTGCCTACATATACACTACGGGGAGAACTACAGTTCTAACCGATAGGAAACTAAGTATATTCGTTTTGATTATCATTCGTAGCTTCAACCATATTTTTCAGAGTAGAAAAACTCCAAAGTGACTGAACGATTCTTTTTTTTTAATTTTCATTTGTTTGCTCGTACAAGTTTAGTAAGAAAGTAATCGGATAGCTTCTTGAACATTTTCTTTTGTGATTCCATGCTCTTCGCTTGTCAAAACAAAATGATCTTGCATTCGCTTCGGATCTAATTTCAATAAATCCATATCATCAATCGCAATCCACTTTCTAATTAAGATATCGTCGTCGATAGTTTTGTTATCTAAATTTGTTAACCAATAACATATTTCATCTACTCGGGTTTTACCACGAGTACCAGTCCATCCAATGATCGGATCGATTCCAATCTCTCTAAATGACGTTTCGATTTGTGTACGTGACTTTGGAAACAATCTATAGAGGATTTAATGATTATTGATAGACAGTGGTTTGTTTCTTACTTCCATGAAGATGATAAAACGATGCGAGCAGATGTGTTGTCAACGATAGTTTTCAAGTTTTCCAAACAGACCTGATTCATTCGTCGATTAAGACATAGCACTCCGTCAATATCCAAGAAAATAATGTTCAATTCCATCGAATTTAAGACAAAAGAAACGGAAAATGCCACTTACTGTCATTATTTGACTGTCTGATGCAATTCATCTTATATCGATTTTTCATTGGACGATATAGTTCACACTTTTTCCTTTCTGTCTTCAGTTGACATCTATTGTGATCATAAAGAAATTTATTTTGTCATGAAGTGAAAACTAAAGAAATTGACAAATCTGCTTTTCAGAATGTTAAGTAAAGAATAAATAACAATAACAATCAGCTAAATCAAGGTAAAACGCTGTACTCGATTGTTATAATAATCGGTAACGTAGAGAAAAGTTTCATTGGCATTTAGTATAACACTGTAAGGAGCGCTTAGCAGTGATGCATTCGCCCCAGTAACATTAGTGATACCCGCAACTGTTACTCCATTTGTCGCTCCGGCATCCCAACGCTGTATTCGACTGTTTAAGTGGTCAGCGACATATAAGGCACCGGTCTTGTTAGAAAGATAAACACCGACAGGCGCATTGAATTGATTATTTCCTGTTCCACCACCATTTCCGCCTGCTATAGTAGTACCGTTATTTGGATTACCTAATCGATAGCGTTGAATACGATGATTCAAAGTATCAGCAATATAAAGATATGAGTTAGTTTCATCAAGACATATACCATAAGGCGTATTAAGTTGATTACTAGTGGGACCAGCCACTCCGGTTCCAGCAACAATAGTACCGCTCGAAGCATTCAGTGCCCATTTTAAAACTCGATGATTAGTTGTATCACTTATGTACATATTTCCAACTGAATCAAGAAGAATTGCGCCACTGTTATTAAGCTGACTCAGTAAACTGCCCGGAAACCCAGTGCCTGCTACACGAATTCCAGTGGAAGTGTTCTGCTTCCAGAGCATAACTCGATAGTTCTTGCTATCGGATATATACATATTCATTGCTGAATCTAAGTATATGCCGGCTGGTTGATACAACCGTGCATTCGTAGCGCCTGCCGTACCATCGCCAGCTACTATTGTTCCATTTAATGACCCTTCTCGTAATCTAATAACACGATTATTAGCAAGATCGCTGACGTATATGAATCCATACGGATCGATAAATAATCCTGCAGGGTTTTGTAATGCATCCAATAAATTTCCTGATGCACCATTCGATCGCCCGCCTACAGTTGTCCCAAGTTGTAGAGAAGCAGCTACAAATTAGAATTACTTCAAAAATTCATCTGTACTAGTAACACACTTACGACCACATTGTTTGCGCGGTAAACACGTATAGTTCAAATCAGTTCGACATGCATAACTCATATTACATTTTGCTCCAAGTAATTTTTGACTTTTGCATATCGAGTCATCAAAGTATGTGTGAGGTGGGCATTGACAAGTTGCATTGATACATACTAGATATCTGTTACCTTGGCAAGATGAACAAGGTGCTCCTCGAGCAGCGAATTGCGCCGGTGACACTTGAATTGATCCAACGCGTGATTGCATTGATGTTGATGCAATGATTGAGCCTGATGTTGATAGGTCGCCTTCAAAAAGACGACATCGTCGTGTTTGAGCATTGAAGTCGAAGATACGACAGCTTGCAGTTGCAAAACATTGTGCCGTACATAGAATCAAAGATTTAGCAGAATATTGAAATAGTAACGTTTGATTATCGAGAGCGGAATATTCCAATCCGACTTCTGATACGTTTGTCTGCGACTGCCAAATCGTTTGGAGATAAACCGGCACGAATAACCATTGGAATAGAATGCAAATGTTCAAGTAATAATTGAAAAGCATTCTCTCAACGAGTATTGGGATGTGAAAATAGAGCAGAAAAACTAACGGTTTCTTATAGTACTTTTTACATCCATATATGATATGTCATCTCGAGAGTTATCATTCTCGCTTCCTACTCGCGTCATTCAGTGTGAAAACTTGTCCTCTTCTATTTATAGGGCAATAGCAATTAAACTCTTCAACATTCGATAGTTTTATGAAAAGATATAATCAGTAAAATAATTTTATTGAAATAAAATATGAAATTTCGTCTGTTGCTTTTCCAGATTGTTATAGGAATACTCGATTCTTATTCGGTCATTAGTAACTTGTTTTGTTGAAAATCCGTCGGTCAAACCATCACGGGTGATATTCGAAATAGTTAAGAAAGTGTTGGGATACTTAATATCAAATCTTGTTGATAAAATGCTCGGTTTTTCTGTATTAAAATTAATTACCAAGATTTTTCTAGTCGAATCGTACTGAGCATAAGTGACACGTATGGTTGGATATTGAACAGCTATAATTTCTGGTTCATCATTTTGAAATTTTTCATGAAATTTGGTCGCATAAATTTGCCGCAAAAATTCTTTTGCTTCAACACGATTTTCTCCCATTAACAAAGATAAAAGAACGTTCGTTGTGACCCAGTTGGAATAAACAGTTTCCGTTTCATAATAAAATGATTCGAAATATCCGTCATGATCTATATCTAAATATGTACCGAAATTGTTCTCAAACCATGCATATGCACACGCCAATTTTTCTGTAGCATCGATCGAACATTGTTTTTCAACCATGGGATAAAATGATGTCGCTATCCAACGATTCATTTGCATTCGTACACCAATATAACCACCCGCTTCAAGATAGCAACCCGATTCTGCTGGTTGCCAATATTTATTCTTGTACATTACCTTCCAGCCGTTACAAATAAAGTCTGATGTTTGGTTTTGATCGTACCATGATGACATCCAAGCTAATGCCCATCCATCATTGCCTGTTGCAGCAAAAAAAGGCACCCAGATATGGGTGGAACGTTGATACAACATTTTGAAATATCGATCTTTTTTGTATAATGGAATATCTTCGAGTGCATGATGATTGAGAAAGTCTTTCCACTTCGATGATATTCGCGAAAAATTCGTTCGACCATCGCGAACGACATCGTAGAGTTTCAAACCCAAATGAGGATGATTTTGACAAATCGTATACACCCATCCAGGTTCGCACGATACACCAGCTGATGAGTCGTCATCCATTTGACGATAGATAGCACGCACAAGTTGACTAGTTGTATAATGAATTGTCGTTTCGGCTGAACCATCTTTAGTCCAAACGAAGTCAAATCCTTGTGTATCGTAAATTAAATCACCAGAAATACTCTCATATAATGCTATCAGTTGTAACAAGTGTCCGCTGTACATGATGTTCTCGTAGTAAACAGGATCAGGAAAAGTTGAAGTTTTTTGCCAGTATTGATCGATGTACCCCCATACTTTCAACGTTAGCATACGTTTGATTGTATCATTTAGGATGTTCACAGCCAATTCACGGTAGTTTGGTGTGCGATAAGCTAAAGCTGCGGCAGTATAACCGATATGAGCTAGGGGATACCGAATGGCATCGAGACCGAGTTGCGGTCCGTCGTAATTCTTCTCCCAGCCATTCCAAGTAATATTTGTTGATGTTTGAAGATATGTCAAGTAGGATATGAATCGGATGAGCTTTAACTCTTTTTCAGATAAAACAGAATTCACTGCTATTGATGATGATGACACAAGTAGAAAAGATGCGAAAGTAAAGTATAGAAGATTGTTCGACATTTTGAGTGTTTAGAACGAAGTGCTGATTTTGCTCGTGTTAGAAATAACGATAAGAATTGAAAGAAAAAGAACTGTGTTTTTCGATAAGAGAAATACGCGTGCTGATGTAGAACAAAAATAGTTCCTCCTATGTCGAAGATATTCTCGAGAAGTCACGTGCTTCAATCTGCGTCGATGCATTACGTATCATCTCAGAAATATCACATTGAGGATGTTATGTTTCTACTTGTTCCATTTTGCATCGTCGAAGTTTTACTCAAAATAAACTTTGTCATTTACGAATAGTGGTATCCTCGGTTTTATTAGAATATTTGTTATAATTCTCATTTTTACATTCGACAGATAATACCTGGAGAGTAATGTCTACTAGAGTGGAAGAAACTTGAATGTGTAGTAACATGAACAAAAATTTCCTCGAGCAATACACTAAAGTTAAGACAAGCACAGCGTGATTCCTAGTTGTTGTAGGTGAAAGTGAGCAGTTGTTCTGATATGTTGTGGGAGAGTTGCAGCATTGGATTATAGTTGAGCATAGATTTACTTGATGCAGTTCGTTGAGTCACCGTCATATATTTAAAGCAAATAAAAGAAGATAAAGAGAAAACAGCAATACAAGCAGTATCGATTACATCGGATGGAATAAAGTGAATACATACTACTCACAAGCACTCACATAAACAGGGACTCAACAAGGAGTAATATATTTTACGTATAATTCCGCATTTTGATTGTTGCTCATATTTATATCGAGGATTAAGTCGTTGAGAGAAAACAGTTTCTTTTTAGTATTAAAAAAGTTATTTTTAACTTCCATGAATCATTGTTCATGATAGTTTTCAAGTACTGCATAGTTATTGCACAAAAATCATTTATGCACCGTCCCATTTTTTATGGAAAGATGACGCAATATATGTTTCTTCATATTCGTGACTAAGTTTCGATAAATGATATGTTTTCTTTCTATACATAACACGCTCTACTCGATGTTTTTTTTAAATTTTGACTACACCTTTATAGTCACCCATACATATACTGATGTAAAAATATCAAACAACGAAATAGCTTATATTAAATGTCGCTATTACTTCTTGTTGGTGCGGCTGGCGCAGCTGGTGTAGCTGGTTATGCATGGGCTAAACATCGACAACGTCGCGCTATAGCGAACGGATATGTGACATATCATGATAGTGGCTATGGTTCTCCACAGTACGGTCATTTCCATTATGGTGATACAGGACGCTATCGGCATGGAGGAAATTCTCGTTATACATACCATTATACCAGTCGATATTAATTTTTCCTTTTTATAATGATTGTTATAAACTTTTTGGAATACATATTTAAGTAAATAGAATCCATTTTCGACAAAATGCAAGTCGTACTTGTATATAGTGAACACGAAAAAACTTGATGGCAAGCACGACCTTCTTTTTTTATGTCTGAGTTTGTGTTTGAGAAGGAACTTGCGCAGTTTCTAACGACCATGAAGAAAGAAAGAAAGAAAGAAGAAAAAGCGTCGCCACGTGTGTATTGTCACATGTATGTCAAGATTTCTCCTTGGTGATCCTCTAAGAACAAATGATTTTCATATTGTTAGTCATTACTGGCGTTTTACTAGTATTATATCTGAAACAGAAATACTTTACGCTCCATGGTTATGTACCTGGTTTAGCACCTCAATTTCTATTCGGAAATCTGCTTCAGTCAGGATTTTTCAATGGCAACTCTCCACCGATGATTTTGTCAACATTTCAAAAGCGTTTTGGAGATGTTTTTCAATTCTGGTTCGGACCTACGCGTTTTATAGTGATCAACAATGTCACTGATGTCGAGCACGTTCTCACTCATCGAAATATTTACGATCAAGGTGATATATTCATAAAAAAATTCAGCATCAGCTATTCTCAAAGTCTTATTTCAACTAAAGGTTTATCTCAAATTGCTAGTCTATGACTATTTCTATGTAAAATAATCTCTTTAGGTATCCAATTCAAACGGCACAGCTCAATCGTTTCGCCCCTATTTCGACGGAGCAAAGTCATTTCTCATTTCGACTTGATTATTAATTGTACTGATAAATTACTAACTAAATGGCGTAAAACTGAAGCAAAAATACTCCATGTTGACATTGTCAGGCAATGTCACAATCTAGTGCTCGCCATTTTTGGATTTATTGCATTCGATTATGACTTAGAAACGCTTGAAGATGGAGATAATGAACTTACTCTCGCACTACGCACAATCATCAATAGTATTATGACGATTCTCGCTTTGCCGAGAATTCTGGCTAAAGTCTATGTAACTCTCAGCTATCGACAACGACAAGCACGAAATACTATCGAACGACATATCTACAGAATGATTGAACATGAACAAGCGACCGTACAAGGAAAGCATACATCTCTGATTGCTTCGTTAGTTCATTCTTTGCGAATGAATGAGCATCTCGAAGCAACGGAAGATATAGACGAAGACAAGAGAGGTCTATCACGAAATGAAGTTGTTGATGAAATGGTGGCTTTTCTGATAGCAGGTTTTGAATCCACGTCGTCGACATTAGTCTGGTTCATTCATTTAGTGAGTAAACATGCACAGGTACAACAAAAGATCAAAGCAGAATTGATAGCGCAAGATTGTCTCCATCATTTATCATCGGATCGCCTTGACTCCTTAGTCTATTTGAATTGTGTTATTAACGAAGTTCTCCGATTTATTCCACCTGCTACTGGCACCATTCGGACCTTAACTAGAGACGATTGTCTACCTGCAACGAATGTTCAATTAGTTAGAGGAGACTCAGTGCTGATTCCATTTCATAGTCTTGCACATGATCCTCGTTATTGGTCGGTCGATCCAAATCTATTTTACCCCGAAAGATTTCTCGGCGAAGATCAAAATCATCATCCCTACGCACTCATTCCATTCGGAGGTGGTCATCGTCAATGCATCGGGCAGGATCTTGCTCGATTTGAGCTGAAAGTGATTGTAGGTCGTTTGATGCAAAAGGTTACATTCGATGATGCTGGCCCTGAAGTCAATGCCGGTGGACACTCGATGGGACTTGCTATTCTACCTAAACATATTGGAGTATCAATTGAGTTTGACTGATAGTTTCTTTCTGTTGCCTAGACACTTGGAATGTTAATTGCAGGCACGTAGTTCTTCTATATATGCGTGACTTAAATATTTTACTATTGTTTCAAAAGTACTCAACTGTAGGCGTTCTATCTAAACTCACTAAAAGCTGTTTCTTTGGAACTTCATTGGGTTAGGTTTTATATTTTTGAGACAATAGTAGTACACTCTTATCATAGATTCTATTAGGTATTCTGTGGATAAAATGGGCTATACGTACAGTGATCGATGCGTGCAAGTGATCCAATCTTATCTTCCAAATCGGTAGACCTTTGATTCCAAATATAATTAGCTGATGAGCGTCAGCTATCCGAAACTCAAATCGACAAATTTAATTCATCATTTTAACTCGAGCATCATTGACTATTTAAACATCGGTATCATCCTCAATCGGGCACTGCTATATTTTTTATTCAACCTCTTCACACAGGTAAAGACAAGGAGAAACATCTTTACTTAACTATTAATAAAACTTTTCTTCTCATAGAAGAAAACGTAAACAGCCCAGCTGAAACCAACTGCCAAACAGTTTCCAATATCAATAACGATCCAACTCGTGATGCTCATCTCGATACAACTGAACTGGAACAATTTTCCGTTTATTTTCTATACAAACTAGTCATATCTATCTGCAACTTTCGTTTCCAGCAATTGATTGATTTGATATAACCTACAGAAAATGTTCACACATAAGTTTTATTTTGTGAAACAGGGTTGGATTGCATCGAATGAAATCTAGTACTTCGAAGAGCATCGAATTTAGACACTGTGATGGCTTTCGGAATTGGTAAAGATCTGACAAGTGAGACGAATTTGTAAGTGCTTACTGCTCTCTCTTCTCTCGTTTGGTGCATCCTTCATTGAACTTCACGGAAAAATCCAAAAGATCAATAGAACAACATCTATTGCCAAAATCTCTTGATGACATTCGGTACTTGTCGTTCTTATGGTTCACATGCAAGTAGAAGTTTAATGGGAAAACTGAAGAATTGAATCGAATCCAGCAATCTTCTCGAAGACGACTATATTATTGAGACGTACAATCGCAACTTAAAATTCTGATTTTAATACTTCTAGTGATATATTTTTCAAATATTTTCTTTTGTATGAAAACAAGTCGGAGTATTCTAAAAATATCGAAGTGAATTCATTTGGAAATCAAACCTCAGCGTACCCAGATTATTATAGCACGGTCGGATTCCGGCCGGAATCGAGAAGAGCTGTACCGGAACCGACTCAGATTTCAACGGATCCAGTCGCCGGAATGATCGACTTGGATAAATAGGCAAGTCACTACCTTCTTCACCGATAATATCTCCACCGCTTATATTGTTCACTACGCTCTCTTATCGTTCCGATTGTGCATTTGATAGTGATTCCATCTCCGTATCGCCGAAATCTACACAAAGACGAATATTCAAATAACTCATTATCATGATAGACACAAATATTATATATGCAAAGGTGAAAGACGGCTTACCGGCGCTGCGATCTAATTCAGCATGAATAACAACATGAGCGAAAGCTACACCAACTTCATTGGACTGAGTAGTGTCGGCATACGGATTTTCTAAAATCATATTGATTTGTCATTCGTAAATAAATATTATCCTATTCACGAAAAGTATACCTTTTGATTCATCATTGCTTTCGGTGCCATTCATTAATTGGTCTTCAAATGTTGATCTGTTTGGTTATTCTTATCGTGTTCTATTAAAAAGATCTTTGAATAAGTTTATGCAACCAAAGCAATATATTCACCTATTGCTTTCAATTCGCGTAACGGTGACACATCCACATTCATGTATTCTGCTAAAGACAAATAGTTCATCAACTCCTCAGTCATTATTTCAGTTGCTTCAAGACTAATACGAGAGCTCTTCTCCAGATAGTGCTCCATGGTGAGATTAGTATGGAAGCGTTTGAATTCGTTTAATTTTTCATCAAATAATGATTTCTAATCGGCATCGGCTTGACCATCGTCGTCACACATCGGCAACCTTTTCACATATACACCAGTAGTTCTTCTACTAGTTTTTATAGCACGTTTCACACACCAAAATAATTCGCTTGAGATATGATGAGACACGATGGAATGAATTCTCTCTGGTGATTGGTTATGTAAAAAGGAATTATTTCGATGGAGCTGAGTAATAGTAAAGCACAACGATGGAAACAATAAAATTGCGTGAACAATACGTTCATTTTTCTCATTATTCACGTAATTAACTGCAATCGACACACTAGATATGTTGTTATAAGCATATTTACCTTTTACTGACACTCACCAAAATTCTTCTTTTTAACTGGAGCTTCCTCTGCACGTCCGGGACTATTGACGGGTAATATTATAACTGTCTTACTGTGACTACCGTTATATGCTGGCGCATTTGAGTCATCCATGAAAATCCTGAGTTGTTGTAGAAGATCTGATACAAGATCAATAGCTCGACCAACAGTTTCTTCACAGATGAAAAATTGATGTTTCTGATTGGCATGTGCCTGGTCAGGAAACATGCCGTTGAAAATCGCATGACACAGTTCCATGAATACATGATCAACACTTTGATCAATCGGAAATTCTTTAAAATTGACGCTATACGATATGCACATGCTATATGAATATTCGATTGTTTGAAGAAAACCAGCGAATTGATGCATTTGCTGAACAGATTTGCCAAGCAATGGTGATACTAACGGATCCTCACGATAATCATAACATACTTTTTAGCTCAATCTCATTGCCCCATTGAACCACACGAATTAAAGCTTCATCGGTATACTTAAAAGTGCAATTTTCAATTAAGCTTGCTATATAGGAAAACTGCTGAATCGAAGGTAAACTGCGATCAAAAGTTGGTTCCGTCAATGTTTCCATCATTGACAGTTCATCCGGAATCCACCACGTAAACCGACCAACCAAAGCATCCCATCCTGCACCTCCTTTTAATCTAGATACAATGCTTCCCATTATTTCACCAGTAGACAAACCCTAATTAAAAAACATTTCATAAATTTCTTCAAAAACAAAACACCAAGGCTACGTTCATACTAAAATATTCAGCTTGCTTTTTTTCGACAATTATTGATTTTCCGGCTAATTCACGAACATACGGTTGATCAATACGTTCATAGAGCGTTGCTATAAATGCTAAAAACTGCGAGTTACAATCAATCTTCTTTTCTGACAAAACATACGGCGACAATTATTTTCAACAGAAGTTTTACCAAAATAATTACCAGTCTGGCTTTTGTCATTTCGTCAACGCGAACGTTAGCATTTTCTCCGTTGGCACACCCGACACTATGTAACACATTTCGAATTAAAGTAGTAATATCACTTTTGTCATAAGCTAGGGAATATACAAAATGAACATGTGCATATACACCAAAACAACTATAAACATACAACTACGATCCGTAACTATATTGTACAAATTCGAAGGTATTCGATGATCCCCTGCAAAAGTACGCAACGGCTGCCATGCTTCGATGAGTTTCAACATTCCCTCGCTGAATAACACATTTATTAGAACACGAATCTCTGCCGCGCGAAGCATATTAGCATAAATAAACTTGCGACTCATCACTGACATTGGAATGTAAGTTTCGGAAATTGATGTCTATACAATACGCAAAATCCAACGACAAACGACACCATAATCTACACAAATAATCCTCCCTCCATTGCAGCAACAAGAAATGTTATAAACATCTACCTTTAATCGAACAACCTGTGAAATTCCACTACAACTGTTTACCACCAATATCTTCATTCCTTCCAATTCTGTCACTCTATCCAAACAACGTATTAGAAATAAAAATCCAACAAAACGTTCGGTAACATTTGGATTACTTCCAGCAGAATCCTCTATACTTCAGGGTGTATTCTGTACACGACAAGCAGAATTCTGTAAACTTGAAATGCAGCGTCAAGCTGAATTCTTCTTTGTAAGAATTTTGCAACTGCTGTTCGTCCTGGGTCTATTTGACTTTCGTTGAATTCAGTTGTGATTACTTCTCTCCTAGTCTATCCTATGGTTAATAGCAGAATTGACTTCCGAACACAAACGAAATGGTATCGTAAAACGACTTTTTTCGCTTACACGCAGTGCCATTTTTCAGAATTGAAATAATTCTCTCGCATGTTCTGCCTCAATCTCATCAAAAATTGAGCAATTTCTATTCCAATTCGTAGGTAAAAAGCCCTGGTCGGGTGTAAGGTAAAGATATTTCGGTACCAATGGATCATAACTTGGCCATCTATGAAGTGGTCTGCCTGTCTGAGCAATACTGATCCAATGTGAAATGATATTGTTCGAAAAAAATCGCGTTTGATTATTCCACGTACAATGAAACTGCCGTTGCGAATCGACGTCATTAACAGTTCCGAATACAAATGGAATTTCAGATGAATGGCAGCATATACCTTCTTGCTGTACAATAGGACATAGAGGGTAACAGTTCAAATGATAAGAGAATAATTTATCTTGCTCATACTGTGCGCCATATTTTGCATAAAATGCATTGAATAATCGACGAATATCACAGTCAAACATAGAGTCCATTAATATTCGACGAACGATATCACAGCAACGAGTAGCATTAGCAGTAGGTCTCATTGAACAGTTATGCAAATGGTAATAGTCTGCGATCATTAGACTTCGTTCGGAAGAAAAGGTAGCAGCAATTTTTGTTAAAGCTTCACTCGAAGTCATCAATGGATGTTCGAAACAAATCGGTTGTTCATAGTCATTATTACCCATGATCAAACTCACATTATTATATTGACCGCTACTAATTGCCAATAGTGGATACAACGGAAAGAAATAATTCTCAATAATAGGTCGTGTATATCGAGAATCATATGTGCGCAAAAGATCATCAAAGGAAGCATTGCGAATGCATGTAAGTAATCGTCGTCTACCTTCATAATCACAATGCAATCGTTGAACAACTGAATTCGAAGCATTGAGAGCGAAACTTATATTATAGTACGATGACGATGTTCCAGGTGAACCCAAGCCGGATTCACTTATTGCTGTTCGATAGAGACCAGAAGATCCTTTAACAGCACCTAGGTCAGTTACAGACAAACCTCCAGCACTTTGACCAAATATAGTCACACTGTTTGCATCTCCATCGTAATGCAGACAACATATCGAGATACATATAATTACCTGCTGTTGACCATTGTGGATCTTCTTCGACTAACTCATTTAGGAACATATCTGCTAATACACCCAAACGATAGTTTATGGTGACAACAATGACTGGTTGACCTGATGGTGAATAAGCGATAATATTCGTGCCGTTGAATATCAATGGAATGGCTTCTGATGAGCAACCATGATTATGAGCACCGCCGTGAATCCAAACAAGTACGGGCAACAAAGACGAATTCGATGGAATAATTGGTTTGTAAATATTTNATTGCTTTCAATTCGCGTAACGGTGACACATCCACATTCATGTATTCTGCTAAAGACAAATAGTTCATCAACTCCTCAGTCATTATTTCAGTTGCTTCAAGACTAATACGAGAGCTCTTCTCCAGATAGTGCTCCATGGTGAGATTAGTATGGAAGCGTTTGAATTCGTTTAATTTTTCATAAAATAATGATTTCTAATCGGCATCGGTTTGACCATCGTCGTCACACATCGGCAACCTTTTCACATATACACTAGTAGTTCTTCTACTAGTTTTTATAGCACGTTTCACACACCAAAATAATTCGCTTGAGATATGATGAGACACGATGGAATGAATTCTCTCTGGTGATTGGTTATGTAAAAATGAATTATTTCGATGGAGCTGAGTAATAGTAAAGCACAACGATGGAAACAATAAAATTGCGTGAACAATACGTTCATTTTTCTCATTATTCACGTAATTCACTGCAATCGACACACTAGATATGTTGTTATAAGCATATTTATCTTTTACTGACACTCACCAAAAATCTTCTTTTTCTTCTTTTTAACTGGAGCTTCATCTGCACGTCCGGGACTATTGACAGGTAAGGTAATATTATAACTGCAAGAAAATCCTGAGTTGTTGTAGAAGACCCGATACAAGATCAATAGCTCGACCAACACTTTGATCAATCGCAAATTCTTTAAAACTGACGCTATACGATATGCACATGCTATATGAATATTCGATTGTTTGAAGATAAACAACGCTCGTCGAGGGAGACTCGCATTACCCTCGACTGATTGGGTTATACTTCAGATAAAACTTGCGCTTCCAAATGATGTCTCGGGAACGGTCCTCATCAATTTCAACCTTTTTCAAAACTAACCAAACAACTGTCATCGCTCTTGCTATTTATGTAATGTCCATTATTCATGATCATTTTTCACACATGAAACAGCAGCCTGCTAAGAATAGCTACTATGATCCTTGCGTCTTTTAGTAATGCGAAACTCGAAATTTCGACACAACTATTCAACTATTTTTTGCAGTCTTTTTTCTCTTCATCCTCACTGAAATGATGTCCCTTCAGAACCCTTTTACTCACTCGCGAGTATACGGATACTCTAATAATTGAACGGAAGGGTAGACTGTTGAATTTAAGTTTCAAACTATAGATATTTGGTCTTATGACAATTTATGATTGTATACTTTTCCTCTTCTCTCTTTCTCTTCCTCTTTATATACAATAATTATCTGCTTTCTTCCTTCCTTTATGAACTTCGACACTAGCCTCTTAATCCATATACCCAACATAGAGATATTGATAGATTTATCTCTTCTTATTATGTACCATATATTATCTCTTGCATTATAGATCATCACAGGCATCTTCAAACAAGGATCTAGCATCGCTACCAATAAACGTTTTTGGTTCCAACCGCAAATGGCTGCACTATTTCGTCGATTCGAATATAAGATAATCTATTAAATGTGCATTTTATAGAGAATCNGGGGGAACCGAGGAATTGAGCCACGCGTGAAGACATCATCGAGATATTAACATACGAGAGAGGATGGAAGAGGGGTGGAAAGGAGGAATTGTCTCAGTTCTGGTGATAACTCCACGGGAATGAAGATGGTACCTTGACGGTACCTTCAACAGTTCCTCGGGGGAACCGAGGAATTGACCCATGCGTGAAGACATCATCCAGATATTAACATACGAGAGAGGATGGAAGAGGGGTGGAATGGAGGAATTGTCTCATTTCTGCTGATAATCCCACGGGAATGAAGATGGTACCTTCGATGATTGCTTGGAGGAATCGAGTAACTGATATATGTATGAACGAATTGTAACGATGATGATGTCATTCATCTGTTTCTCGTCTTTATTCTCTTACTTCTATATCATATTATATGTGGACCATCTCTCTCTGTCTCTCTTCTCTATATAAGCCTATGAATTATTGTCAAGTAGAGACATTGTGGTCATGTAGAGTAGTGAATAAACATCTTTCCCGTGAGAAGCGGTCATCTACAGAACCAGTTTGTCGTTAGATGGTGTCCCTGATTAGTGAATCTTCGTAAATGCAGTAAAAGTCGATTCTCTAGTAAACACAAATGACACTGAAGATCCGCGAATGGATCAATTGAAATTTAATGCTCAATCGGTGACTGCGATGTATGTAAAATAACAAGGTTGAATTTTGAATGAATGTGATGAGGAACCTCCTTAACGTCATGAACAGCATAAGAAATGGGTGGGCGCGTTGGCAGGAATATTAATTCAGAAAGAATTACTGGAAATGAAGGAATCGAAGAATTTTATTTATGTGTAGCTGCGAGAACGACCCAACGACTGAACAGCCGAGTAGTCCGGGAGAAGATTGACATGGAAGTGTTCCACTTCTACTGCGTGGAGATTCATTTTACTGGCACGAGGCTCGTTCCAGTAAACCTGCATACAGAAGAGTGCACTATTTGACTAATTATATTTTTGTTGCATTTGATATATGAGGCGATCGATTGAAACAAGAGCATGAGGAAAATACGTATGGAATGTCTCGAGTTAGTGCGTATGTGTTTGTCGTTATGTTAATTTTTTCTTCGAAACGTCGTAGTTGTTGCATCACAATTTGTTTAATCTACGATACTTCGTTATGTGTAAACGCTTATAAACCGCCTTTTCTGTTAATACAGCTATAGTGCATTCGATGAGTTTCTATTGTTTTTATTCGTATGACCTCTCTCGTGATCATTATCTACTCATCTTCATCTTTTCCCCTTTCCACTTAATCTTGTAAAGACGGTGAGGAGCGTGTCTAATCTGAGTGCGAGGGTGTAATCATAATGATATCGTTCATCTCTTTCTCTTATTTATTCTCTCACCTTTATATAATATTATCTCCGGGTCATCTGTCTCTGTCTCTGTCTCTCTTCTCTATATAAACGTACGACGTATTGCGAAATATGGACATTCTAGTCATGCAGAATAGTCAACAAACATCTACACAGTGAGAAGCAGTCAGCTACTCAATCAGCTCCCCGTTACACATAACATCGACCCATTTAAATACGAAGGAGAATGAAAAGTTCGTTCGATATGAGCAATTGTTTCATCTTCATTCCCGTGGAATTGTCAGCAGAAATGAATCAATTCCTCATTTCCACCGCTTTTTTTCATTGTCTCTCGCGTGTTAATGTGTCGATGATGTCTTCACGAACGGCTCAATTCCTCGATTCCTCCGGGGAACTGTTGAAGGTACCATTCAGGTACCATCTTCATTCCCGTGGAATTATCAGCAGAAATGAATCAATTCCTCATTTCCACCGCTTTTTTTCATTGTCTCTCGCGTGTTAATGTGTCGATGATGTCTTCACGAACGGCTCAATTCCTCGATTCCTCCGGGGAACTGTTGAAGGTACCATTCAGGTACCATCTTCATTCCCGTGGAAATATTAGCAGAAATCAAAACAATTGCTCATTTCCATCGCTTTTTTCATCCTCGCTCGTATGTTAAGATGTCGATCATGTGTTCACGCATGGCTCAATTCCTCGATTCTTCCGGGGAACTGTTGAAGGTACCATTCAGGTACCATCTTCATTCCCGTGGAAATATTAGCAGAAATGAAACAATTCCTCATTTCCACCACTTTTTGCATTACCTCTCTGACTGAAATGTCTGGAGGAGGCATCTGTGGAAACCTTAATCTGTTGAGCCCTAGGGAGGAATATTGTCGGACGTGTAGGATAGGATGCGTGGTGGATGGGTACTTCGTTGTGTATGAATATGGTTATTTGTATCTGGTGTGAAGCGAGTTAGTGTTAGGTCGTGTTTGTTGTGTGTCAATTCCTTTGGTAGGCATTGACGATTATTTCTGGTCGGTTCGTTGATTCCTTACGTAGGTATTGTCTTGGTCTTGTTTCCTTTGTGAGGTAATAGGGAAATGTGGAGGAAGTGAGAGTAGGTGTTGATGGTACATTATGTGATTATTGTTTAGAGTTAAGGTAATTATTGAGGGAGTGTGGGGGAGATGTGGAGGATATATCGATCGCATCCCAATTCCTCGTTTAATTTGAGGAGTTTTCATAGGTTTTAAAGGGAATGTAAGAATTGATATTTCTCAGTCCTTGGACACCCCTCCAGATTCTGGACTCATCAGTGCAGGTTGATCGAAAGTTATAAACTGACCAGTTAATGGTACTGATTGACCAGGTTTAGTCAGATTTCCACCAAATATGTGATTTAATACATCATAAGCCAAATTGAACGAACTATTTCAAAGACAAATGAAAGCGGTATTAATTTTTTTTACATACCAATTATTAATAAAATATTTCAGATCGGGAATCTCGCAAGATCCACCAAAATTTTCTGTCGCATATCCATGAGTCGCGTGCATTTCATAATTTGGCTTGATATTTGCACCGAACGATAAAAACACTTTTGCATTGAGTTTGACAACATCAGGAAAAACGACGGGATCATATTTACCAGTAAATATATAGACAGGATCGTTTTTAATATTCGATGTTGGATCAGCTGTACCAGCAGAAGCATATGATTGTAATTGACTGATAAGTTCTTCGACGGGAATGGATTTTTCTGGGCCGTACAGACATTCATCAACATTCTTCGAATTGCCTCGAGCACAATAATAGGGAGGACCGGCGAGAATACCACTACCGCTGATTGTGGATGAATAAACGAGGTGCAGCTGCGCTGTCATCGCAGCTCCCGACGACAAACCGGAAACTGTAACATCAGTTCGCGGTACGCCTTCAATTCTTGAACCAAATAGAATAATTGTAAAGAAAATAGTCCACATTCTGTGGTTGATATTTGTTTCCAAAAAAAGAAGATAAAAAGACGTTTTTATTTCGAATATGCAATGATATCGAATAGTTTTTATTTGATGATTTAATTCGGTATAATTCAAGCAATCATATCGTATTACATTTTGCTTTGTTTTTAAGAACAGGTGGTTTACTGTGATACTATCGATGAGTTAGTCTTCATCACTGTATTCATCGTTTTAATGTTTAGCATTTTCGATGACATGCATATGAGAGCGAAAATGCTCACGCGGTTTTATGAGAAATTACAACACTAATTAGAAGGAAAGAGAAAACGGTAACAATGTTGAAACTCTAGACAACATCCAAAGCTTGGTAAGATATTGTTATTGATGATCAATAACGAGGACGGCTGTATTACGTTGTTGATTGATTGGATTGAGTGATATTTGATTTTGACCAGTTCCAGACGTTTCAATAAAGTTTGGACGACAATGAAAACAGGGACCTACAATTTTAGTGAGCTCTGTTCGAAATAAACTACCGGTCAATGTATACAGATAAAAACTAGTTGAATGGGCAAAATATGAAAGAGAATTGCATAATTGAGTGGCCAAGTTTTCCTGAGCAGTTTGAAATGCATTCTTTGTCGTCGTTGCAGTAAATGATGAATACAAACGAATAGCGCTGGACGGCATTGTGGAGACAATAATGAAAAGAACTTGAATGATTAACATTCGTAGTAGTTGTGTATCTGTTCGACGATTACGGCGTTGATTGCTATCACTATGTGTTGGTATGATCCGACGATGTTGATGAATGTTTCCCACTGTTAGAATGCCAAATAATAACATCAGAGATGATGGGCATAATGAATACAAGGTCATATGCCAGGATGCACTAAAACTTCGATATGTGCCTTTTCTTGCATTGCACGTTTGTGTAACTTGGCCAGTCTGACTGGTGACATTTGCGATTTCAAAATAAACGATCATATGACTGTAGATGACAATCATTAGCAAAGTAAGCACACTAGAAGATATTCGAGCCATTTTCAAAGAACTCAGTCGACGTAACTTGATATTCGATGAACTATGAAAGTATCGATCGATGCATGCTAACAGAATTAACCAGATGGAGACGACACGCACCACGTAGAACGAGTAGAATTCTGTTTTGCATATTCCAAGGTTGTAATTAGCTAGATCCAGATTGAGGCTGCTGGAAACAATCCGTACAGGCAGAATGATGAATACAACAAATAAGTTAAACAATGTTGAGATCAGGAAATAAAATGAACATGGTTGACGGTTTAGAACTGGTCGAGTGAATACTAGAACGTTGAAGATAAGACCAACAGCACCTGGCGGAAAGTTAATGAGAGACAATATAAGTCCAATGGTGGTAGTCGCCGTGTTGAGTTGATTGATCGCTTCGGTAGTGTTCGACATTGGATTTTGTCGTTAAATAATATGATCTGTAATTAATTGATAATTGAGTGGATCCTAGAGAATAACCTTCCTCTCGATATGCAACAAGCTTTAAAAGTCCAGTACGTCCATGAGAATGAAGTTAAAGTTTGAATTTTACGTATCAAGAGAAAGCGTTTTTTCTCTATTTAGCACACGAAGATTTTGGATTAATAAGTTAAAACTTAATCCAGATAGTGCGGTCTTATTGCAAGCAGATTAACGCATGCTAATTAGTTTCTTTCTTCAAAACGTCGCAAAAAGGAAACCAGTTTTGACAGCATTTGATAGCAGAATCAAATTGAACTTGAATTGAAAGTAAAGATAAACTGCAGCGCTAGTAGAACATCCGCGCACGTTTAAAACAGTACAATATCTGAACCAATTTGAGGAAACAAAAGAAAGGGAATTTGTTTTTAAATGAAACATTGTGTTTCTGTGTATTTGACCGAATATCTCCATTTACACCATGAACTCGAGTTAACCTTCATCATTACTTCTATCAAACCATTCACTACCTGTTTCAGTTTTTAAATCCGTCATTCTCCTCAAGAAGATTAGAGTCTGGATGAGTCGGATAGGTACTCGTTTATTTTTTCTGTTGTCTCACAAAGGTTAATTTATGAAAAATCTTCTCAACACATGTCCGTGAACATCTCTTCCAAGCAAATCTTGACTGACAATAAAATCCATTGCTATCGTTCATGACTTGTCTTCGCGAATGTATGAGTTAAACAAAATTGAAACTCGAACAATTGTCCTTATCATAGGCGTAGAGAGAGAGACTTGCAAAGCAGCGAACGAAAAATTCTATGTTTGTAATGTGAACATGAAATCTATTCAAGACGAATAATAACGCTGATAAATATGGCAAAAAGCAAAACAAAAAAGTTCTTTGCTCAACTATTTCATAGACTTTGACATAATATATGAACAGAGAATTTCTTTTACAAGAAGAAAGCGTCAATCGATTTGATTAAACTCTAATGATCTTCTTCGATTATAATGATGAAAAAACATCACTTCGAATATTTTAATTTCTTTACCAAATCTTTGTTGTGTTTAATGCGTGTTTTTTATCTATCTAGATGATACTACCAATCAAAATAGTTTTATAAAATAAAAGTGTTTCTCGTTTTCGGCATCTGTAATGTGTGTTCATCAATGAATAAATAGATTCAACTAAAATTCAACCTGTATATCTGATGTTTTAAGTTCTTCAGATCAGAATGATTTTGTTTTCTTTCTGTGATAGAAAATCATTGTGTCAAGTCGAGCAATTGCGCGTGTAAAAATAAAATATGTTCTGACAAGTTCAAATTCGAAAATCAACTTCCTTCAACTATTATCCTTAAGATCTTCCATGAGTTAGATATTTCTGCTCTTTTACTCACATCATCACAATGGCAGATTCTTCAATCATAATGTATAAACGAAATGGTTCACTAGATTTCTTACAAGAAAGATGTGTTCATCATAAATCCAATCATTTCAATCAGGAATCTACACAAATCTCTCACTCGTGCCATCCAATGGTATATCTATCGTATTAGTCTGTTAACCACAAAAGTATAATTATGTAAGTTTTCCGTCATCTCATTGTAGCGCACTCTATTCTTTCTTTTTTCCTTGAGAATTACGATTTGTCTTCTTTTTTAGTCAATAGTATAAAAAGAAACAAAACAGAACAGAGCACATAGTAAGAAACAACGTTGCGCAGCTGGAAAAAACCGAAGCGTTTGGTTTACATGTAAATAAATTTCACAAGCCATTTTCATTTCTTTACCTTACTATACTACACTCTTTCGACAATGAACTCATTTGAAAAGTTTAAATTTTCATCAACTGTCAAGAGTGATTTTCTATCACATGAACCGCACCCTAATACCTCTGGTATAACTATTTATATCATCCTGGAATGCCATAACAATAATGTATTATTTTCCTGTTGTAGTTGCGTCATCAAATGTTATTGATGATTTGCTTGTAAACCCTCAAATAAGTACGTAAATAAAGAAATACTTTTTCAAATCATACATTTTCTTTTCGTATCATTTGAAGTTGTTAATGAATTCAATCCGGCGGTGTTTAACTCTTTCTCGGAAGAACCATTTGAAGGTGAAGTAGATGCAGGCATTTTTCTCTCATATTGACCTCTATTTTTCTTAGAGTGTGATGAATCACAGTCAAGAGTTTTTCCCGAAGAAATGCCCACCAGTGCGCTTGAACAAGCGTCAGAGCCATCGGTTTATTAAATCATACTGAAACGATTCGTTTGCATCAATAGGATGTTTTTTTCTTTCAGGCACATGATCATGTTGATTCGTTGCGATTACTTATGCCACCTGACCCTTATCAACGCGCTCGGTATGATGGAGAACTTGATGAGGATCTTCGTTTTATTTCCACACCGAGCAACAAAGGCATCGTACTGGAGGTAAATAAGATTCACATTGATTCATGTTGCTTCATTTGCCAAATTTTCCTGTTACTGTGCAATAGATATCCGATATCCGAAGTCGTATACCTGATAATATGGCGGTCATGTTACGTGCGTCTCGCACTACAACTCCATTTGGCACTGATGAAACGATCTGTTGCCATCCGTATCCATTATCGACCGTAAACAAACAAGCGATAGTTCACCATGGTTCATTGCTATTTCCTGTATCGGATAAAAACATAGAAGAACAAAGAATAATGTAAGTAGAGATTCTTATGTGAATGGACACATTGAAACTTCTTGATTTTTCATAGAATTGACGACCTAATTATGTCGCGATTAAAACAATCTACTGTGACAACCAGAAAGCAGTGGCCAATATTCACGTNGATTTTTTGCCTAATTTTGAAATTTAATGTGAACGCGTTCAGACGCTCCGATAGTTTCATCCAGGACGCAGCTCAAATTGAAGTGCGTTTAGACGCAGTCAGTTTTGTACTGCGTCTAGATGCTCCGATTGTTTCACCTGGGACGCGCTCAATTACTGTGATTTAGACGCGATTCGGACGCGATTAAAGCGCGTTTAGATCCAAAAAATGCTTACATGGGAACAACTTCTATGATGTCAAATATTTGAATGATACGTTGTCGCCGTTGTTGAGAGATAATGGGCGTATAGTGAATGTAAGCAGTGGCATAGCATCATTGACGTTGGAACGCTATTGCAAAGATTTACAAGTCAAACTTCTTGATCCCAATATAACAGAAAGTCAATTAGAGCAAATTTTTACTGAGTATAAATAAGAGTAAAGTATTTCGTTTTGCTCCGACCCTTTTCTTTCCAGATTATTCAGAGTAGTTCAAGAAGGAAATGATTTCAAAACAATTGGTTTCAATCTTGTTAAAATTCCAAATTTTGATGATTACTTTGCCTTATACTATGGCGCATCCAACTTGGGTGCCAATATTCTGACCCGTTCGCAAGCTCGCAATTAAAACAAAAAGTATACAGCAAAAAATGTCATTGTAAGTGCTGTGTGTCCAGGGCTTTTGTGCAACTGATATTAACAATCGAGCAGACGGTGGACGACCCGCTGAGCTTGGAGCAGATTCTATCTTACATGCTGTTTATACGGAAAACCTTGAAAATGGACAATTTTCGAAGGGTGGTACACGTTTGCCACTCGAGGCAAACCGATAATCTTTTCAAATAGACAAAATGTCGAGATTTATTTCTCGAAAGGATGTAAAGCAGTATTAATAGATCTGAAACTGTCGATCATTTTCTTCACACCTGCCATTTCTATACCCAGCTTATTAGCATAGTTAGGAGAACTATAGCCCCACCAATCCCAACAGCCTTCTTTATTTGACGGATTGACATGCGATGCTATAATTTGTGGAAATATTATAATAATATTATTGAGTTCAGCCACTTCTAAATAACCCGTTTTCTTCGCGAAGACATCACCAATGCGCCATTTCCCTATGACGGAAGATGAATAAGCTTTGTAAGCAAAAAATTATTCAAACCTTGTAAACATCCATGGAGAGCTACATGAATTGGACATTTCTTTTCTTTCACACAATTTGTTGGATAATAAACGTAACCTTCTTTGTCGAAACTAGAAGAATTCGTCGATGTAATGTCAACTAAACCAGGAAGTTTAGATGTTCCTATCGGTACTTTTAGCCAATTTGCCCAATAGGAAAAAATACTCTTGCAGCGTACGCCACGTATCTCAACAGATTCTGGACTCATTAGTGCAGGTTGATCGAAAGTTATAAACTGACCAGTTAGTGGTACTGTTTGCCCGGGTTTAGTCAGATTTCCACCAAATATATGATTTAATACATCATAAGCCAAATTGAACGAACTATTTCAGAGACAAATGAAAACGGTATTCACTTTGTTTTCTACATACCAATTATTAATAAAATATTTTAGATCGGGAATCTCACAAGGTCCACCAAAATTTTCTGTCGCATATCCGTGAGTCGCGTGCATTTCATAATTTGGCTTGATATTCGCACCGAACGATAAAAACACTTTTGTATTGAGTTTAACAACATCAGGAAAAACGACGGGATCATACTTACCAGTAAATATGTAGACAGGATCATTTTTAATATTCGATGTTGGATCAGCTGTACCAGCAGAAGCGTATGATTGTAATTGGCGGATGAGTGTTTCGACAGGAATTGATTTTGCTGGGCCGTACAGACATTCGTCAACATTCTTCGAATTGCCTCGAGCACAATAATAGGGAGGACCAGCAAGAACACCACTGCCGCTGATTGTTGATGAATAAACGAGGTGCAGCTGAGCTGTCATCGCAGCACCCGACGACAAACCTGAAACAGTTACATCAGTCCGCGGTATGGCTTCGATTCTTGAACCAAGTAGAATAATTGTAACGAAAATAGTCCACATACTGTGGTTATTATTGATTTCCAAAGGAGAAAAAAATACGTTTTTATTTCAAATATGCAACGACATCGAATATTTTTAATTCAGGGATATAATTCGGTATAATTCAAGCAATCATATCGTATTACATTTTACTTTGTTTTTAAGAACAGGTGGTTTACTGTGTACTATCGATGAGTTAGCCTTCATCACTGTACGTATTCATCGTTTTACTGTTTAACATTTTCGACGACATGCATATGAGAGCGAAAATGCTCGCACGGTTTTACAAGAAATTACAACACTAATTAGAAGAAAAGAGGAAACGGTAGCAATGTTGAAACTCTAGACAAAATCCGAATCTCAGTAAGACATTGTCATTGATGATCAATAACGACGACGGCTGTATTACGTTGTTGATTGATTGGATTGAGTGACATTTGATTTTGACCAGTTCCAGACGTTTCAATAAAGTTCGAACGAAAATGAAAACAGCGACCTATAATTTTAGTGAGCTCTGTTCGAAATAAACTACCAGTCAATGTGTACAGATAAAAACTAGTTGAATGGGCAAAATATGAAAGAGAATTGCATAATTGAGTGGCTAAGTTTTCTTGAGCAGTTTGAAATGCATTCTTTGTCGTAGTTGCAGTAAATGATGAATACAAACGAATAGCACTGGACGGCATTGTGGAGACAATAATGAAAAGAACTTGAATGGTTAACATTCGTAGCAGTTGCATATCTGTTCGACGATTATGGCGTTGATTGTTATCACTATGTGTTGGTATGATCCGATGATGTTGATGAATGTTTCTCACTGTTAGAATGCCAAATAATAACATCAGAGATGATGGGCATAATGAATACAAGGTCATATGCCAGGATGCACTAAAACTTCGATATGTGCCTTTTCTTGCATTGCACGTTTGTGTAGCTTGACCAGTTTGACTGGTGACATTGGCGATTTCAAAATAAACGATCATATGACTGTAGATGACAATCATTAACAAAGTAAGCACACTAGAAGATATTCGAGCCATTTTCAAAGAACTCAGTCGACGTAACTTGATATTCGATGAACTATGAAAGTATCGATCGATGCATGCCAACAGAATTAACCAGATGGAGACGACACGCACTACATAGAACGAGTAGAATTCTGTTTTGCATATTCCAAGGTTGTAATTGGCTAGATCCAGATTGAAGCTGTTGGAAACAATCCGTACAGGCAGAATAATGAATACAACAAATAAGTTAAACAATGTTGAGATCAGGAAATAAAATGAACATGGTTGACGGTTTAGAACTGGTCGAGTAAATACTAGAACGTTGAAGATAAGGCCAACGGCACCTGGTGGAAAGTTAATGAGAGACAATATAAGTGCAATGGTGGTAGTCGCCGTGTTGAGCTGATTGATCGCTTCGGTAGTGTTCGACATTAGATTTTGTTGTTAAATAATATGATCTGTAATTAATTGATAATTGAGTGGATTCTAGAGGATAATCTTCCTCTCTATATGCAACAAACTTTAAAAGTCCATAGCACGTCAATGAGAGTGAAATGAAAGTTTCGATTTTACGTACCAAGAGAAAGCGACTTTTCTCTATTTAGCACACGGAGATTTTGGATGAATAAGTTAAAACTTAATCCAGATATTGCAGTCTTATTGCAAGCAGATTAACGCATGCTAATTAGTTTCTCTCTTCAAAACGTCGCAAAAAGGAAACCGGTTTTGACAGCATTTTATAGGAAAATCAAATTGAATTTGAATTGAAAGCAAAGATAAACTGCAGCGCTAGTAGAACATCCGCACGTTTAAAACATATCTGAACCAATTTGAGGAAACAAAAGAAAGGGAATTTGTTTTTAAATGAAACATTGTGTTTCTGTGTATTTGACAGAATATCTCCATTTACACCATGAACTCGAGTTCACTTTCATCATTACTTCTATCAAACCATTCACTACCTGTTTCAGCTTTTAAATCCGTCATTCTCCTCAAGAAGATTAGAGTCTGGATCAGTCGGATAGGTACTCGTTTATTTTTTCTGTTGTCTCACAAAGGTTAATTTATGAAAAATCTTCTCAACACATGTCCGTGAACATCTCTTCCAAGCAAATCTTGACTGACAATAAGATCCATTGCTATCGTTCATGACTTGTCTTAGCGAATGTTCTATTAAATGAGTTAAACAATATTGAAACCCGAACAACTGTCCTTATCATAGGCATAGAGAGAGAGACTTGCAAAGCAACGAACGAAAAATTCTATGTTTGTAGTGTGAAAATGAAATCTATTCGAGACGAATGATAAGGCTGATAAATATGGCAAAAAGAAAAACAAAAAGTTCTTTGCTCAACTATTTCATAGACTTTGACATAATATGAACAGAGAATTTCTTTCACAAGAAGAAAGCGTCAATCGATTTGATTGAACTCTAATGATCTTCTTCAGTTATAATGACGAAAAAACATCACTTTGAATATTTTAATTTCTTCGCAAAGTCCTTGTTGTATTTAATGTTTGTTTTTTATTCATCTAGATGATACTGCTGTTCGAAATAGCTTCATAAAATCAAAGTATTTCTCGTTTGATGCATCTATAATGTGTGTTGATCAATGAATAAATGTACTCAGCCGAAACTCAATATGTACTTCTGATGTTTTGGGTTCTTCAGATCAGAATGAGTTTCTTTTCTCTTTGTGATAGAATATCATTGTGTCAGGTCGAACAATTGCGCGTGTAAAAATAAAACATGTCCTGACAAGTTCAAATTCGAAAATCAATTTCTTTCAACTATTATCCTTAAGATCTTCCATGAGTTAGATATTTCTGCTCTTTTACTCACATCATCACAATGGCAGATTCTTCAATCATAATGTATAAACAAAATGGTTCACTAGATTTCTTACAAGAAAGATGTGTTCATCATAAATCCAACCATTTCAATCAGGAATCTACACAAATCTCTCACTCGTGTCATCCAATGGTATATCTATCGTATTAGTCTGTTAACCACAAAATTGTAATTATGTAAGTTTTCCGTCATCTCATTGTAGCGCACTCTATTATTTCTTTTTCCTTGAGAATTACGATTTGTCTTCTTTTTTAGTCAATAGTATAAAAAGAAACAAAACAGAACAGAGCACATAGTAAGAAACAACGTTGCGGCCGGAAAAAACCGAAGTGTTTGGTTTATATATAAATATATTTCACAAGCCATTTTCATTTCTCTACCTTACTATACTCCACTCCTTCGACAATGGACTCACTTGAAAAGTTTGAATTTTCATCATCAACTGTCAATAGTGATTTGCTACCACATGATCCGTACCCTAATATCTCTGGTATAACTATTTGTATCACCCTGGAATGCCATAACAATAATGCATTATTTTCCTGTTGTAGTTGCGGCATCGAATTTTATTGATGATTTGTTTGTAAACCCTCAAATAAGTATGTAAATAACGAAATAATTTTCAAATTATACATTTTCTTTTCGTATCATTTGAAGTTCTTGATGAATTCAATCCGGTGGTGTTTAACTCTTTCTCGGATGAACCATTTGAAGGTGAAGTAGATTCAGGTATTTTTCTGTCGTATTGACCTCTACTTTTCTTAGGGTTTGATGAATCACAGTCAAGAGTTTTTCCCGAACAAATGCTCACCAGTGCGCTTGAACAAGCATCAGAGCCATCGGTTTGTTAAATCATACTGAAACGATTCGTTTGCATCAATAGGATGTTTTTTTTCTTTCAGGCACACGATCATGTTGATTCGTTGCGATTACTTACGCCACCTGACCCTTATCAACGCGCGCGGTATGATGGAGAACTTGATGATGATCTTCGTTTTATTTCCACACCGAAAAACAAAGGCATTGTACTGGAGGTAAATAAGATTCACATTGATTCATGTTGCTTCATTTGCCAAATTTCCCTGTTACTGTGCAATAGATATCCGATATCCGAAGCCGTATACCTGATAATATGTCGGTCATGTTACGTGCGTCTCGCACTACAACTCCATTTGGCACTGATGAAACGATCTGTTGCCATCCGTATCCATTATCGACCGTAAACGAACAGGCAATAGTTCACCACGGTTCTTTGCTATTTCCTGTATCGGATAAAAACATAGAAGAGCAAAGAATAATGTAAGTATAGATTCTTATGTGAATGGACACATTGAAACTTCTTGATTTTTCATAGAATTGACGACCTAATTATGTCGCGATTAAAACAATCTACTGTGACAACCAGAAAGCAGTGGCCAATATTCACGTACGATCAGGTTGATTGCGCAGGTAACAGATACGAAACCGTTTTACGTTGATATTCATATCATGCATAGGTTATCATAACATCAATCTCGATAAAGCAAAATCCATCATTAACACCTATAATCTTCGATATTCTGTCTTACATTTTCAAATATTTCTTGTCGATCAGAATCAAATAGCTCATTCGACTTACATGTCTTGTAAAACAGAGCCAATTTATGAATATGAATGTAAGAGGCTTCTCTTATTTGTGGAAGTACATATTCTCTCTAAATAATGTTTTTGTTTAGACAAGGAACAGAACTGTATTCCAGAACAATACCGAAACAAAAGAAACAAATCAAATACAGTAAATGTATCCATTGAAAATCACTGTTCGTTGTATTGATTCTTTCTATAGGCTGATACAAAACGTAAAAGAACTGGTCCAAAACAAAAGACAATCAAAAGACTGAATGGCCTTATCCGCACAACACAAGGAGATTTGTAAAACTCCGCGTCATATCTCAAACTACAAAAAGTCTATTCAAGAAAATTCTTATTTTAATCCGGAACATATCTTCATGTTTTGCTCTTTTATTCTTTTTCCAAACAAAGAAATAAATAATCAAGACTATACAAGCACAGCTTTGTATGGACTCTAAACAGCATTCGGGTGAAGATTTCGATGTAATTGTACATCAAGAAAAATATCCTATTAAAGACCAATCTATGTTAATAATGATTATTTATTTAGTTAGTTTTTATCTCATTGATAGTTCGTACAAGTAAAAGTCTATATGAGTCATGCAGCTATTTTCATCCAATTTAAATCATTGAATGGACAATCCGATTTAATCGAATCGGTTGATACCATACAGAGTGAAGTAAAGTAATAATAAAAGTAAAATAATGGATCAATATTGAAATTCTTCAAGTATATCGTCACAGCATTCGTAATGTCCTTATCTGGATGTTGATATTTATCTCTAAATTCCTTGTCTGCACATTTTCTAAAACCAGACGATAATACTATCCTGAAAAAGCATTCTCCCTACTCTGCTAATGGATTTGGTTGATAATAGACTCGTTCCAAAGAATATCCTTGATCTTCAAGTAATTTCACAACACTTTGATTACCCAAAAAGTTGACTAAACAAAAATGAGAATATCAACAGTCCGGTACCGAAATCTCTTTATGTCTATAGTTAACCTGCATTGACAAGAAAGAAATATTTTGTGTTTGGCTTTTGTGTTAATAATTGATGAATACGTTGTGCCATTTGTTCGTTGCGATTATTGATAGATTTTATTTCCTGTTCATTGAAACTGCTTCGAAATAAGTCTTCGGAGATCAGACCGCATGTATACATTCGAAGAACATCATCTGCCAACATGAGAAACTCGGATTTCAACAGTTGATCTCGTAACTTAAGAGACTTTGAGAACTCAGGACAAGTTGAAGGAAGTGGTAGAAGAGATTTCACGGATTGATTTCGACGATAAGCGTCAAAAACATATCCATAATACACATAATCTTGAAGCATTGGATTATTCCACTTGGAAAAGCTTTCATTTATTGAAAAAGAATCGTGTAAGAAATTCTGCCATGCAGCATCGACTACAATGAACAAAAGCGAAAGAATGACATTCTGTATTCGCATTTTCCTTATACACATACCTTCTGATGGTCGTGACACGATGTTTTCTCGAAATTTTTCAAGGAAGTCCGATGATGAAGATCGGAGGATTTCTTTTGATTTCCATTGTATCGATTGTTGAGCACATTGTCCGCTAAGTTTGTGAAAATCAGATTGAACAACATCTGTTTCGACCCAGACTTCTTCGCTTTCAGGCAAAGTACTTGGTCTTATGTTACGAAATTCGTGTGAAGCGACAGCACCGATGATGTATGCCGAATTCAAGTGCACATCTTTTCGTTTGCTATCAATTCGATATAAGATATTCGATTGGCAAAGATGAATTAAAGCAAAGATGAATACGAGAGAAACTTGCATGGTCGAAATGATGATTTACTACTGATTTTTACATATTTATACGATATCTTACGATATTCGTCCGCTTCGTTTTCGTTCTTCTGACGAAATCGATATAATTGTAAACAAAATACGGACGAACATCAAAGTTGTTCTCTTTCGTCATGTTATGAATAACATCTCCTCCAATCAATCGAAACCAAACATATTCCGCACATTAGATGTTTTTTACACATGAACGAGAAAGACATTCACTTTATTGCGATAATCTGCAACATTTTTAGGGGTGAGTGAGGGTGGATATGGATGTAGGATAAAAGTTGAGAGTATCTACGTTCTTGCTCGCTATGAGTTCGAATTATTCATCCGGCTGAGCAAGCATCACATGCACTCTCGCTGATCGCAAACAGGAGAATTGTCGCATGCATCTTGGGCAGGGTTTTCCTTTGAGAATGCGGCATGATGTGTATACCCAGACAGGGAGATTACATTGCGGACAAATATAATGTATTTTATAATCAACAATCTCGACTGTATCAGCTGTAGATTGATTCGCTGTCCGATAGTGTTCAAGAAGTATTAGTTGCTGTTGAAAGTACTCCTCAGCTTGTCGTGTATTAGTATTTCTGTGAATAAGGCCTAATATGTAATAAAGCTCGATGATCAAAGGATGAGCAGGCTGTAGGGATTTTAACCCTACTTCCAGTGCTTTCTCGAAATGAATTTTAGCTGAATTCATATCATTAATTCGAAAGAAACTGTACGCTAATTTATTTTGACAAAAAGCCAATGCAGGATGGAATTCAGGTAATATTTTTGTTTGAATAATTGAAGCCTTTTGATAANATACCTTCTGATGGTCGTGACACGATGTTTTCTCGAAATTTTTCAAGGAAGTCCGATGATGAAGATCGGAGGATTTCTTTTGATTTCCATTGTATCGATTGTTGAGCACATTGTCCGCTAAGTTTGTGAAAATCAGATTGAACAACATCTGTTTCGACCCAGACTTCTTCGCTTTCAGGCAAAGTACTTGGTGTTATGTTACGAAATTCGTGTGAAGCGACAGCACCGATGATGTACGCCGAATCCAAGTGTACATCTTTTCGTTTGCTATGAATTCGATATAAGATATTCGATTGGCAAAGATGAATTAAAGTAAAGATGAATACGAGAGAAACTTTCATGGTTGAAATGATGATTTACTACTGATTTTCACATATTTATACGATATCTTACGATATTCGTCCGCTTCGTTTTCGTTCTTCTGACGAAATCGATATAATTGTAAACAAAATACGGACGAACATAGAAGTTTTCTCTTTCGTCATGTTATGAATAACATCTCCTCCAATCAATCGAAACCAAACATATTCCGCACATTACATGTTTTTTTTACACATGAACGAGAAAGACATTCACTTTATTGCGATAATTTACAACACTTTTAGGGTGGATGAGGGTGGTTGTGGATGTGGGATAAACGTTGAGAGTATCTTATACTTTCTTGCTTGCTATGAGTTCGATTTATTCATCCGGCTGAGCAAGCATCACATGCACTCTCGCTGACCGCAAACATGAGAACTGGCGCATGCACCTTGGACAGGTTTTTCCTTTGAGAATGCGGCATGATGTGTATACCCAGACAGGGAGATTACATTGCGGACAAATATAATGTATTTTATAACCAACAATCTCGACCGTATCAGCTGTAGATTGATTCGCTGTTCGATAGTGTTCAAGAAGTAGCAGTTGCTGTTGAAAATACTCCTCGGCTTGCCGTGTATTAGTATTTCTGTGAATAATGCCTAATATGTAATAAAGCTCGATGATCAAAGGATGAGCAGGCTGCAGGGATTTTAATCCTACTTCCAGTGCTTTCTCGAAATGAATTTTAGCTGAATTCATATCATTAATTCGAAAGAAACTGTACGCTAATTTATTTTGACAAAAAGCCAATGCAGGATGGAATTCAGGTAATATTTTTGTTTGAATAATCGAAGCCTTTTGATAATTGTCAATAGCGGGTATGAAGTTGTTAATGTGAAGATGCACCGAACCTAGGCCTAGATAGCAGTCGGCTATTTCAGAACACGCATGATCTTGACCATAAAGTTTTTCGTACAGAGCCAATGCTTTTTCATATGGACGTAGGCTCTTTCGCCATCGTCTGCTGACATTTGTCGACCACCAATCTACGGAAATGAGAATAATCTTCGTGTACGATAAATCTGTTTGTGCTTCAACTTACTGGCAAGATCAGTTCGGTACCATACTGGAAATTTCCAATCTGTCGTCTTGCTATAGGCATGACCAAGTGATAAGTATGTTTTTGCGACTAATGAATGGTTGTCTCGTGCGGTACTTTCGCATATTTTCAATGCTTTTTTGTACCACTGGATACTTTTTGAAAAGCAATTTTTTTGTCGGTATACATCACCAATATAATGGCAGCATCTGCCAACATCTACTGTGTCTGATGATCTTCTCCGTTTACGTAGCACCTGAGTGAAGATCGTCTTCGCTAGTTTCATTTGTCCCATATTGAGTAGGACAGCACCGAGAGTTATGGGGGTTGTATCGTGATCGTCTCCTCTTATGTCGTTGCAATCTTGTTTGAACTGTTTTTTCATCGCATTAAGAACGGCGTGTAACTCATGCTCGTTGTTGTCACAGAAGGTCATTTTTACAATGGTTAAATCTGGATTTGTTGGATCAGTTTGGACACTATCGAGTCGGAACACTGAATTTAAACTGAATAAGACTTCTTCTTCTGCATCCGAAAAACTAGTACCAGCAACGTTGGCAAATGATGAACATCCAGTCTTGTCATTAGGAGTCGCATGTATATCAAACAAAACATATTCTAAACCTTCTTCAATCGGGCTTCCGATAGCACCACTCATGAACTGAAGAGCTACGTCTCTACTAAGACTCGTTGACAAAAACGAATTCATAGCAATGTATTTGCCGCATGAGTTTTTCAAATGAGCTAATTCGGTCTTTAAAATCACTTGACCGCGATATACGTCGACTGATGATTGACATTGTAACTTTTTCAGTTGAGTTTGCATATCTTGAATGAAGAAGGAAAAGAGAAGAAGAAGTGAAATATTTTGTCGTCGGAGTGCTTTGTTGAGAAGTTTAAAAATGAAACATTCTCTTGTATACCACTCTAAAACTACAGCTGGACGATAATCTGCATTGAAGTCTGCCAGGACTTTCAATTCCGTTGCATTTCTTTCATACAATTTGGCACATTTCCGAATAAACTTCTCTTTATTACTGAACGGCGGATCTAAGCTCAAAAGAATATCCAGCAGCAGTTGCACAAAGAGAAACCTTCCGTTTAAATCTGTAGATGAACGTTCTGCGCTGACATTTTGCATGTTGAAAATACTCATTGGAATATAATCATGAGATGTATTGCGGAGCCAGCGACACCGANCGTAGACTCTTTCGCCATCGTCTGCTGACATTTGTCGACCACCAGTCTACGGAAATGAGAATAATCTTTATGTATGATAAATCTGTTTATGCTTCGACTTACTGGCAAGATCAGTTCGGTACCATACTGGAAATTTCCAATCTGTCGTCTTGCTATAGGCATGACCAAGTGATAAGTATGTTTTTGCGACTAATGAATGGTTGTCTCGTGCGGTACTTTCGTATATTCTCAATGCTTTTTTGTACCACTGGATACTTTTTGAAAAGCAATTTTTTTGTCGGTATACATCACCAATATAATGGCAGCATCTGCCAACATCTACTGTGTCTGGTGATCTTCTCAGTTTACGTAGCACCTGAGTGAAGACCGTCTTCGCTAGTTTCATGTGTCCCATATTGAGTAGGACAACACCGAGAGTTATAGGGGTTGTATCGCGATCGTCTCCTCTTATATCATTGCAATCTTGTTTGAACTGTTTTTTCATCGCATTAAAAACGGCGTGTAACTCATGCTTGTTGTTGTCACAGAACGTCATTTTTATAATGGTTAAATCTGGATGTGTTGGATCAGTTTGGACACTATCGAGTTGGAACACTGAATTTAAACTGAATAAGACTTCTTCTTCTGCATCAAAATAACCAGTATCAGCAATGTTGACAAATGATGATCCTCCAGTCTTGTCATTAGAAGTCGCATGTATATCAAACAAAACGTATTCTAAATCTTCTTCAGTCGGGCTTCCGGTAGCACCACCCATGAACTGAAGAGCTACGTCTCTACTAAGACTCGTTGACAAAAACGAATTCATAGCAATATATTTGCCGCATGAGTTTTTCAAATGAGCTAATTCGGTCTTTAAAATCACTTGACCGCGATATACATTTACTGATGATTGACACTGTAAATTTTTCAGTTGATTTTGCATATCTTGAATGAAGAAGGAAAAGAGAAGAAGAAGTGAAATATTTTGTCGTCGAAGTGCTTTGTTGAGAAGTTTAAAAATGAAACATTCTCTTGTATACCACTCTAAAACTGCAGTTGGACAATAATTTGTGTTGAAGTCTGCCAGGACTTCCAATTCCTTTGCATTTCTTTCATACAATCTGGCACATTTCCGAATAAACTTGTCTTTATTGCTGAACGGCGGATCTAAGTCCAGAAGAATATCCAGCAGCAATTGCACAAAGAGAAACCTTCCGTTTAAATCTGTAGATGAACGTTCTGCGCTGACATTTTGCATGTTGAAAATACTCATTGGAATATAATCATGAGATGTATTGCGGAGCCAGCGACACCGAAATGCTTTGACATGCTTTTCAACTGCATCAAGCTCGAGGAATTTGACCTACAATGAAAGTAAGGAACAGAGATCGTCGGAGAATATAAATGTAAACAGATCCATTCGTCTCTAATATTTACATTCGCTATTTTATACCTTTTTATATATGGATTTCCATTGGTCACACGTCGTGCTTGTACCATTGTAGACAAATACAGCTCCCACTTGACATCGGTGATGAATGGCGGGTACGATAATTTTAGCAGAATCTTCAGTGGTAACCACAACAATAGTTTGACCAAGTTGAGCAGAACGAATATATTCTTCACAGTCTTCTTCTGTATCCATATTCTTAAAATGCTTCATTATTAGTTGAACTTTTTTTTGTACCAATTTAAGTGCACTGTCACCCACTGCTGCATCGAGCCATACGACTATGAAATCTAATTCACGTGTCCCATTACGAGTGAAACCTAGGATGAAAATCAGCTCACTACTCAATTTTATGGTTCCACAAATTTACTTACAGTTGGTGCACATTTTTATATGCTGTCGAATCCGTTAGATCTGATAAACTACTTTGAAAGAAATGTCTTCCGACAACAACTTTATCACCATGCAGTGCGAAAAATACTCGCAAATAAAGTTTTAGTTGGTAAAAAGGAGAAATATGCTTCGAAGCGATAAAAGTGTCAATGACGCATCTTATTCTTTATAGTTCGAATTATAATTACAAGAGAGAAAATGGACATTCCAGTTCGAAGAAGACTATTATACACCTTCACTCATATCTACTCGAATGCATATGAGTACTTGAATGCTCACGAACAACAATGAACGATCAAATGGAACATTATGTCAGCTCACATTGCGAAAGACAAAAACACTCTTTTTTTTCTTTCGAGTACTTTTCGAAGTCAAACAGAACAGTAAATAAAAAACGTGAACTATTGACAAGACAGCTTTCAGATAAAAACGAAGTCACTAGTTATAGCGATATCTTCTTATCGTGTCGATGAATAATTATTTCGAGTCGATGCCATTTTTCAGTGATGGACAATGAAAAAACTGGACAAGGAAAAAGTTGCTAAGCAGACTTCAAGTATAAATCTTCTGTAATGGTGGCAGTTCGATCGATCATAATTTCGAAAAAACACGCACTGATTTCTATAGAATTTCAGATAACGATGGCGCAAAGTATCGCATCAAATAATGAACTTGACACCAACGAGAACAACATGAATCTAGAGCAAGTTAGTCTCATTTGGCTCGATGACAATATAAAAAATGCAGTCGTTCAAGAAAGATTACGTGCTATTATCAATCACCTCATCAACTTTAATGATATAAAAGACTGTCAGGAATATATTGAACAGCAATCGAAAGATCACCGACTAGTCATTGTTGTCAACGACTATCAAGGGAAGATTATCATACCAGCCATTCATTTACTTCGACAAATTTCGTCGATCTATATTTACTGCACACACAAACAAGGAAATCGACGGTGGACTTCGAAATATCCTAAGATTAAAGCAGTTATTATTGAACNTCGAGCCATACGACTATGAAATCTAATTCACGTGTCCCATTACGAGTGAAACCTAGGATGAAAATCAGCTCACTACTCAATTTTATGGTTCCACAAATTTACTTACAGTTGGTGCACATTTTTATATGCTGTCGAATCCGTTAGATCTGATAAACTACTTTGAAAGAAATGTCTTCCGACAACAACTTTATCACCATGCAGTGCGAAAAATACTCGCAAATCAAGTTTTAGTTGGAAAAAAGGAGAAATATGCTTTGAAGCAATAAAAGTGTCAATGACGCATCTTATTCTTTATAGTTCGAATTGTATTTACAAGAGAGAAAATGGTCATTCCAGTTCGAAGAAGACTATTATACACCTTCACTCATATCTACTCGAATGCATATGAGTACTTGAATGCTCACGAACAACAATGAACGATCAAATGGAAACATTATGTCGACTCACATTGCGAAAGACAAAAACATTCTTTTTTTTCTTTCGAGTATACTTTTCGAAGTCAAACAGAACAGTAAATAAAAAACGTAAACTATTGACAAGGCAGCTTTAAGATAAAAACGAAGTCACTAGTTATAGCGATATCTTCCTATCGTGTCGATGAATAATTATTTCGAGTCGATGCCATTTTTCAGTGATGGGCAATGAAAAAACTGGATAAGGAAAAAGTTGCTAAGCAGACTTCAAGTATAAATCTTCTGTAATGGTGGCAGTTCGATCGATCATAATTTCGAAAAAACACGCACAGATTTCTATAGAATTTCAGATAGCGATGGCGCAAAGTATCGCATCAAATAATGAACTTGACACCGACGAGAACAATATGAATCTAGAGCAAGTTAGTCTCATTTGGCTCGATGACAATATAAAAAATGCAGTCGTTCAAGAAAGATTACGCGCTATTATCAATCACCTCATTAACTTCAATGATATAAAAGACTGTCAGGAATATATTGAACAGCAATCGAAAGATCACCGACTAGTCATTGTTGTCAACGACTATCAAGGGAAGATCATCATACCAGCCATTCATTTACTTCGACAAATTTCGTCGATCTATATTTACTGCACACACAAACAAGGAAATCGACGGTGGACTTCGAAATATCCTAAGATTAAAGCAGTTATTATTGAACCTAATGAGCTCATATCTCGAATACAGGATGATTATCGAATTCAGCAACAAATCGATGAACCATTATCAATCAATATGTTCACTACAAGTCCTGGTTCGAACAAAGCAACAACAGGAGTGAATGGTCAATTTGTTTTCTTCCAAGTTCTTATTGATTGTCTATTACGAATGAAACCTAGTGAAGCTGATAAAAACGAATTGATCTCGTATTATATCAACGAGTATTTAGGTAACAAAGAAGAACTGAACAATCTTCGTGAATTTCGACAATCTTATTCGTCGGGAAAAGCCCTGTGGTGGTACACACGTGAAACATTCTTCTACAAGACTCTCAATGCTGCATTGCGTACTCAAAATATTCATATGATCTATCTCTTTCGTTCGTATATTGGCGATATTTATCATCAACTTCAGGAATATCAGACAACACGCGTGTTGAATGTGTATCGAAGTCAAT